ATAGTTCTGTTGAGCTGCTGAGGAACTTTGTGTATGTTTCAGTAACATGTTATATAATTCTGTTGAGCTGCTGAGGAACTTTGTGTGTGTTTCAGTAACATGTTAGATAGTTCTGTTGAGCTGCTGAGGAACTTTGTGTATGTTTCAGTAACATGTTATATAATTCTGTTGAGCTGCTGAGGAACTTTGTGAATGTTTCAGTGATAAAGCCGATCTCCCTGGTGTCACATCTTCGTCTGAACACGAAACCAGAACAAACAAATTTCACCATCCCCAAGATCTACCTCACGCTGGTGTTTGACGACATCGCAGTCATGCTTTCCAAAATGCAGGTTAGTGAGCATTTGAAGAAACAGACGATGTTTTACAAATATAACAGTTATGGGATTTTGTGCTGGTAAATATGATGTGATATGAACCTGAAAAAGTGATAATGACCGAGGCAAATCGGTCAATATCACTTTTTCAGGTTCATATCACATCATATTCACCAGCACAAAAGTCCCACAAAAGTCCATATTTGTATAATAATTACCTGAAATATATTGTACCAATATTAAATTGCATGGTGTCCGTCATGCGGACATCTTCTCCGTCTAAAACTCTGGTTTATATTTACAGTACACGGACATCTTCTCCGTCTAAAACCCTGGTTTATATTTACAGTACACAGACATCTTCTCCGTCTAAAACTCTGGTTTATATTTACAGTACACAGACATCTTCTCCGTCTAAATCTCTGGTTTATATTTACAGTACACAGACATCTTCTCCGTCTAAAACTCTGGTTTATATTTACAGTACACGGACATCTTCTCCGTCTAAAACCCTGGTTTATATTTACAGTACACAGACATCCTGGAGATGCTGGAGGCTCTAGAAAGGATGACTTTACGAGGTGTCTACAGGAAATACAGACCTGAGATCCAAGTACACAAACATGCCAAACAGTGGTAGGTTTTCTTTAAACATATGCAGGTTCAGGAAAGAACTGGCTTGCTCCTTTCCACTACATGATTTTATTGGGTGACTTTCTGCAGCATAAAAGGTGCCTTTCTATGTCTTCTGTTAAAGGGACAATGAAGAAACCAGAATCGATCTGCTGTCCTGATAGCAACACCCGTTACTTCCATCCTTTCTCTCTAACCTCCTGATTGTTTTTGGCAGTGTTTCCCTGACCTATCTGTTTTTTTGGCAGTGTTTCCCTGACCTAACTGGTTTTTTGGCAGTGTTTCCCTGACCTAACTTTTTCTTTGGCAGTGTTTCCCTGACCTAACTGGTTTTTAGCTCACCTGGCCTGTCCGTCGTCCGGTGTCAATATTTTACTTTAAACAACTTCTTCTTAATAACCAAAAGGCCTAGGGTGATGAAATTAGGCCAGAAGCAAACTAGGATGAAGGGCTACCAAGTTTGTTCAAATAAATGACCTTCACCTATTTTCAAGGTCACAGGGGTCATATATGTTAAAAGCTTTAAACAACTTCTTCTGAATAACCAAAATGCCCAGAGTGATGAATTTTGGCTAGTAGCATGCTGGGATGAAGGGCTACCAAGTTTGTTCAAATGAATAACCTTCGTCCATTTTCAAGGTCACAGGGTCAATTGTCTTAAAAAATCTTTATACAACTTCTTCTGAATAACTAAGAGGCCTAGGCTAATGATATTTGGCCAGTAACCTGCTTGAATGAAGGGCTTACAAGTTTGTTCAAATGAATGACCTTTACTTATATTCAAGGTCACAGGGGTCAAATATGTCAAAAACCTTTAAACAACTTCTTCTCAATAACAAAAAGGCCTAGGATGATGCTATTTGGCCAGTAGCATGCTGTGATGAAGGGCTAACAAGTTTGTTTGAATGAATGACTGACTTATATTCAAGGTCACAGGGGTCAAATATGTTAAAAACCCTCAAACAACTTCTTCTGAATAACTAAGAGGCCTAGGGTTAAGGTATTTGACCAGTAGCATGCTGGGATAAAGGGCTATCTAGTTTGTTCAAATGAATGACCTTGACGTATATTCAAGGTCACAGGGGTCAAATATGTTAAAAAACTTTAAACAACCTCTTTTGAATAACTAAGAGGCATAGGGTTACGATATTTGGCCAGTAGCATGCTGTGATTAAGGGCTACCAAGTTTGTTCAAATAAATGCCCTTCGTCCATTTTCAAGGTCACATGGGTCAATTGTCTTAACAAATCTTTAACAACTTCTCAAAAACCGAAAGTCTTAGGATGATGAAATTTGGCCAGTAGTATGCTGGGATAAAGGGCAACCAAGTTTATCTCTGATTAGAAAAGAGTTACCTGACAGAAAGGAGAATTGATTGATTTAATGAGCTTCAAACCTGCTTGTTATTTCTTGTTAGCTCACACTTCAAACAAATTCTTCTGAAAAACTGGAAGGTATAGAATCTTTATATTTGACTGGTTATTTCCAGGGAAGGGCCCAACAAAGTTTGCGAATGCAAATATCCTTGACTCACTTTCAAGGTCACAGCGTTCAAATATGTCAAACAGTTCAAACTACTTCTTCTGAAGAATTAAAATTCATAAAATTATAATATTTGGCTGGTGACTTCCTGGGATAGAGCTCCCCAAAGTTTGCGAATGAAAATGACCTCAACCTACTTTAGAGGTCACTGAGGTCAACAACATTTAAAAGGATTTGTTCTCAAGAACAAAAAGGAATGGATTCATAAGATTTAGCTGGTAGCATTTTGGAATAGAGCTAACCAATTTGAGAAGGAAAATTACATTGACCTACTTACAAGTTCACAGGGAAAAATATGTCAAGCAACTTCTGAAGAAGAATTAAAAAGCATAGAATCTTATAATAATATTTTGGCTGGTAGTTTCAACAGATGGAGCCAACAAAGTTTGCGAGGGAAATATTTTTAGTGCAATATAATATTTAATGAGAATATTTTGCTATGAGTGCTTATGTTCAATATTCATGTTCAATACTCATGTTCAACACTCATGTTCAATATTCATGTTTAATATTTATGTTCAAAACTCTTGTGCAATATTCTACTCATGTTTAATACTCATGTTCAATAATCATATTCAATACCCATGTTCAATACTCATGTTCAATACTCATGTTCAATACTCTACTCATGTTCAATACTCATGTTCAATATTCACTCTTTGGAAATCTTTTACCCACAAAGTCATGTCACCACAAAATAAAGTATTTTTCAAAAAACCATGAGATGCAAGCTCATGGAAAAATAATTAATTCACGGTAACTGTATCTTGATTCGAAGAATAACTATGATGTACACTAATTGCATGTTCTGATTTGTGTGAAGGTGGCATTTTGCGATGACTAGTGTACTGGAGGAGAATGTTCGACGACGGCGCCGTATGTGGTCCTGGGACCATATCAGCAGGCATCGTAAGAACATGCGAGATTATCGGGAGGCCTACGTAAAGAAACTGGACAGCAAAAAAGTAGCGTCAGATGTACAGAAGAAAATCGAGGTAAAAACTGAGAAGGTCTTGTTGAGGGCAAACTGTAATAGGAACACATGTATTTGGGTCATCGTTATGAACAATTTCTCTGTGACTTTGATAAAAAATCCTCTTTCCACAATTCACCTGTCTGAGGTACCTTGGATTTGATGTATAATACAAACCTACACCTGTCTGATGTACCTTGGATTTGATGTATAACGCAGACCTACACCTGTCTGAGGTACCTTGGATTTGATGTATAACGCGGACCTACACCTGCCTGAGGTACCTTGGATTTGATGTATAATGCGGACCTATACCTGTCTGAGGTACCTTGGATTTGATGTATAACGCGGACCTACACCTGCCTGAGGTACCTTGGATTTGATGTATAACGCGGACCTGCACCTGCCTGAGGTACCTTGGATTTGATGTATAACGCGGACCTACACCTGCCTGAGGTACGTTGGATTTGATGTATAATGCGGACCTATACCTGTCTGAGGTTCCTTGGATTTGATGTATAACATAATGCGGACCTATACCTGTCTGAGGTACCTTGGATTTGATGTATAACGAGATTTGCTGTATAACGCGGACCTACACCTGTCTGAGGTACCTTGGATTTGATTTATAATGCGGACCTATACCTGTCTGAGGTACCTTGGATTTGATGTATAACGAGGACCTACACCTGTCTGAGGTACCTTGGATTTGATGTATAACGCGGACCTACACCTGTCTGAGGTACCTTGGATTTGATGTATAACGCGGACCTACACCTGTCTGAGGTACCTTGGATTTGATGTATAACGCGGACCTACACCTGTCTGAGGTACCTTGGATTTGATGTATAACGCGGACCTACACCTGTCTGAGGTACCTTGGATTTGATGTATAACGCGGACCTACACCTGTCTGAGGTACCTTGGATTTGATGTATAACGCGGACCTACACCTGTCTGAGGTACCTTGGATTTGATGTATAACGCGGACCTACACCTGTCTGAGGTACCTTGGATTTGATGTATAACGCGGACCTACACCTGTCTGAGGTACCTTGGATTTGATGTATAACGCGGACCTACACCTGTCTGAGGTACCTTGGATTTGATGTATAACGCGGACCTACACCTGTCTGAGGTACCTTGGATTTGATGTATAACGCGGACCTACACCTGTCTGAGGTACCTTGGATTTGATGTATAACGAGGACCTACACCTGTCTGAGGTACCTTGGATTTGATGTATAACGCGGACCTACACCTGTCTGAGGTACCTTGGATTTGATGTATAACGAGGACCTACACCTGTCTGAGGTACCTTGGATTTGATGTATAACGCGGACCTACACCTGTCTGAGGTACCTTGGATTTGATGTATAACGCGGACCTACACCTGTCTGAGGTACCTTGGATTTGATGTATAACGCGGACCTACACCTGTCTGAGGTACCTTGGATTTGATGTATAACGCGGACCTACACCTGTCTGAGGTACCTTGGATTTGATGTATAACGCGGACCTACACCTGTCTGAGGTACCTTGGATTTGATGTATAACGCGGACCTACACCTGTCTGAGGTACCTTGGATTTGATGTATAACGCGGACCTACACCTGTCTGAGGTACCTTGGATTTGATGTATAACGCGGACCTACACCTGTCTGAGGTACCTTGGATTTGATGTATGACGCGGACCTACACCTGTCTGAGGTACCTTGGATTTGATGTATAACGAGGACCTTCATCTGTCTGAGGTACCTTGGATTTGATGTATAACGAGGACCTACATCTGTTTTTGTCTTACCTGCAATGGATGCACAAATGTGTGACTTTTACTGCTGTGTAGGTGGTGTCAACTTTTAAGTTTTTGTATACAGCTCTGTTTCTACAAGTTAAGTGACCAATCATATTTATACCCTAATTACATGTTAGGTGTAGTACTGTAGTTAATGTTGTCGTATGTTGTAGGAGTGTGAACGGGTGCTGGATGTCCTCAGTCTGACGTTAATGCGACAGCATGCAGAAGTCGAGGTAAACTTATATATAATCATATTATAATTACTGCGACACTTTATGTCCAGTTTTGTCTGTAATGTATTTTCATTCTAGACCTTTCCTTTCAATGGTAAGTATGGAATGTCTCCAGGATCAATAAGCACCACTGCTATCATATATAACTTACCTGAAAATGTCACCAAACCAGCAGTCATGACCACAGATGACCGATTTTAATCATTTTACAGTAGGTAAAAATTGTGTTGCCAAAAAATATATCGCCAAACTGTAACTGAACTGTGACATGATATCTGGTTTACAATGACTATACCCAAGCCTCCATGATGGGCCCTTCTCACTGATCGTAAATTATGGTCATTAAAAGGTATCTAATTATGTCTTTTATCAGGAGATATGCACCAGCGATTACTACACATCAAATATAAAATGTTTTTGTAAGCAAGTAAAGGTTTTATGAAAAATGTTGCTAAAATGAATTGATATATGCTGATTTGCGCACACGTGTGTGTCATTTGTGATCAGATATTTCAAAGAAAACAAACAACAAAATGCACATTTTACGCAGTTTCTTCTTGGTTTTTAACATCGTTGCACTTGTAAACAATAATTATGAACTCACTTACAATAAACAAATTACAAAAAGCCTAAGACTCCCAAGCAGTTTGTCTTTCAAAAGTACCTGCGCAAATTACACAGGTGCGCAAATTACACAGGTTTTTACAGTAGTACGATATGTTCTGTCACCTTCGTGCTATAAGAAGCTGTAAATAAGTTGTCTATAATTATTTTCACAACTGGACGATAAAGATTAGAATGATTGAAAGGAGCAATAGAAGCTATATTTCTCTTACCCTGGACAGGTGTATCTACACTTTTACCCTGGACAGGTGTATCTACACTTTTACCCTGGACAGGTGTATCTACACTCTTACCCTGGACAGGTGTATCTACACTCTTACCCTGGACAGGTGTATCTACACTCTTACCCTGGACAGGTGTATCTACACTCTTACCCTGGACAGGTGTATCTACACTCTTACCCTGGACAGGTGTATCTACACTCTTACCCTGGACAGGTGTATCTACACTCTTACCCTGGACAGGTGTATCTACACTCTTACCCTGGACAGGTGTATCTACACTCTTACCCTGGACAGGTGTATCTACACTCTTACCCTGGACAGGTGTATCTACACTCTTACCCTGGACAGGTGTATCTACACTCTTACCCTGGACAGGTGTATCTACACTCTTACCCTGGACAGGTGTATCTACACTCTTACCCTGGACAGGTGTATCTACACTCTTACCCTGGACAGGTGTATCTACACTCTTACCCTGGACAGGTGTATCTACACTCTTACCCTGGACAGGTGTATCTACACTCTTACCCTGGACAGGTGTATCTACACTCTTACCCTGGACAGGTGTATCTACACTCTTACCCTGGACAGGTGTATCTACACTCTTACCCTGGACAGGTGTATCTACACTCTTACCCTGGACAGGTGTATCTACACTCTTACCCTGGACAGGTGTATCTACACTCTTACCCTGGACAGGTGTATCTACACTCTTACCCTGGACAGGTGTATCTACACTCTTACCCTGGACAGGTGTATCTACACTCTTACCCTGGACAGGTGTATCTACACTCTTACCCTGGACAGGTGTATCTACACTCTTACCCTGGACAGGTGTATCTACACTCTTACCCTGGACAGGTGTATCTACACTCTTACCCTGGACAGGTGTATCTACACTCTTACCCTGGACAGGTGTATCTACACTCTTACCCTGGACAGGTGTATCTACACTCTTACCCTGGACAGGTGTATCTACACTCTTACCCTGGACAGGTGTATCTACACTCTTACCCTGGACAGGTGTATCTACACTCTTACCCTGGACAGGTGTATCTACACTCTTACCCTGGACAGGTGTATCTACACTCTTACCCTGGACAGGTGTATCTACACTCTTACCCTGGACAGGTGTATCTACACTCTTACCCTGGACAGGTGTATCTACACTCTTACCCTGGACAGGTGTATCTACACTCTTACCCTGGACAGGTGTATCTACACTCTTACCCTGGACAGGTGTATCTACACTCTTACCCTGGACAGGTGTATCTACACTCTTACCCTGGACAGGTGTATCTACACTCTTACCCTGGACAGGTGTATCTACACTCTTACCCTGGACAGGTGTATCTACACTCTTACCCTGGACAGGTGTATCTACACTCTTACCCTGGACAGGTGTATCTACACTCTTACCCTGGACAGGTGTATCTACACTCTTACCCTGGACAGGTGTATCTACACTCTTACCCTGGACAGGTGTATCTACACTCTTACCCTGGACAGGTGTATCTACACTCTTACCCTGGACAGGTGTATCTACACTCTTACCCTGGACAGGTGTATCTACACTCTTACCCTGGACAGGTGTATCTACACTCTTACCCTGGACAGGTGTATCTACACTCTTACCCTGNCCTTGTCTCTTTCCCTGGACAGGTGTATCTACACTTTTACCGGTGTGAGATATCCTTGTCTCTTACCCTGGACAGGTGTATTGTCACTTTTACCGGTGTGAGATTTCCTTGTCTCTTACCCTGGACAGGTGTATCCATACTTTTACCAGTGTGATATTTCCTTGTCTCTTACCCTGGACAGGTTTATCCATACTTTTACCGGTGTGATATTTCCTTGTCTCTTTCCCTGGACAGGTGTATCTACCCTTTTACCGGTGTGAGATTTCCTTGTCTCTTACCCTGGACAGGTGTATCTACACTTTTACCGGTGTGAGATTTACTTGTCTCACCCTAATAATGGTATGACGTCACTTAAACAATACAATGACGTCACGTAAACGATCCATCAACGTCACATCAACCCTGAATTTAGCATGTAACGTTATCATTACATTGTGTCATATATGATACACAATGGGAGAACAGGGTAAGAGAAAAAGAATCATTCACCCCCTTGTTGGTGAGATAGGGGAATATCATTTATCCTTAGCTCTAACACAAATCACAGGTATAATATTTAGGGTAGCATATATCCTTAGCTCTAACACAAATCACAGGTATATGTTAGGTAGCATATATCCTTAGCTCTAACACATATCACAGGTATAATAATTACGGTAGAATATATCCTTAGCTCTAACACAAATCACAGGTATATGTTAGGTAGCATATATCCTTAGCTCTAACACATATCACAGGTATATGTTAGGTAGCATATATTCTTAGCTCTAACACAAATCACAAGTATAATGTGTAATGTAGCATATAGCCTTAACTCTAACACATATCACAGGTATAATGTGTAATGTAGCTTATAGCCTTAATTCTTACACCAATGGTATAATATGTTAGGTAGTATATAGCCTTAACTCTAACACAAATGGTATAATGTGTTCGGTAGCATATAGCCTTAACTCTAACACAAATGGTATAATGTGTTAGGTAGCATATATTCTTAGCTCTAACACAAATCACAAGTATAATGTGTAATGTAGCTTATAGCCTTAATTCTAACACCAATGGTATAATATGTTAGGTAGCATATAGCCTTAACTCTAACACAAATGGTATAATGTGTCCGGTAGCATATAGCCTTAACTCTAACACAAATGGTATAATGTGTTAGGTAGCATATAGCCTTAACTCTAACACCAATGGTATAATGTGTTAGGTAGCATATAGCCTTAACTCTAACACAAATGGTATAATGTGTTAGGTAGCATATAGCCTTAACTCTAACACAAATGGTATAATGTGTTAGGTAGTATATATATATTGTTTTCTTATTTTGTGAAGGCTGCTAAACTGGGTGCAAAAAGAGAGAAGGAAAAAGAAGAGAAAGGTTGGTTTGGAGGGTTTTTCGGAGGAAAGAAAAAGAAAGAATCCAAGGGCAGCAAGGACGCGGGAGACATGCGTAAGTACTGGTGTTATATCAGATATCAGTGGGTGCTGGTGTTATATCAGATATATGTGGGTACTGGTGTTATATCAGATATCAGTGGGTACTGGTGTTATATCAGATATCTGTGGGTACTGGTGTTATATCAGATATCTTTGGGTACTGGTGTTATATCAGATATATGTGGGTACTGGTGTTATCTCAGATATCTGAGGGTACTGGTGTTATATCATATATCGGTGGGTACTGGTGTTATATCAGATATCTGTGGGTACTGGTGTTATATCAGATATATGTGGGTACTGATGTTATCTCAGATATCTGAGGGTACTGGTGTTATATCAGATATCTGTGGGTACTGGTGTTATATCAGATATCAGTGGGTACTGGTGTTATATCAGATATCTGTGGGTACTGGTGTTATATCATATAACTGTGGGTACTGGTGTTATATCATATATATGTGGGTACTGGTGTTCTATCAGATATCTGTGGGTACTGGTGTTATATCATATAACTGTGGGTACTGGTGTTATATCAGATATATGTGGTTACTGGTGTTATATCATATATAGGTGGGTACTGGTGTTATATCATATATATGTGGGTACTGGTGTTATATCAGATATCTGTGGGTACTGGTGTTATATCATATATATGTGGGAACTGGTGTTATATCAGATATATGTGGGTACTGGTGTTATATGAGATATCTGTGGGTACTGGTGTTATATCAGATATCTGTGGTTACTGATGTTATATCAGATAACTGTGGGTACTGGTGTTATATTATATATATGTGGGTACTGGTGTTATATCAGATATCTGTGGGTACTGGTGTTATATCAGATATCTGTGGTTACTGGTGTTATATCAGATATCTGTGGGTACTGGTGTTATATCAGATATCTGTTGGTACTGGTGTTATCTCAGATATCTGTGGGTACTGGTGTTATATCAGATATATGTGGGTTACTTAAAAGCTGGAAAGCAACATGGGGAAGTGTCTCTCCAGGAGGAGAAAGGACAACTGACCTATTGGTAAAGTTGTTTAAGTGAAGTAAGTACTGGTTCCATTGATAAGATATCTACTGATACCAAACTCCTCCCACAAAATAACTTTGTTACTTTGAGACTGTATTTGATTTACAAACGATGTTATAACATCATAATTGTAATGCAGATTTCCAAATGTCTCGGGGGATTTCTAGTCTGAAAAAAACGGGGAAGCAAAACTGTTTTCACAGGTTACTGCAAAGGTTGATAATTCACTGTTTTCACAGTTATTAATATTATGTGAAAAATACAACCCACAAAATAAAAGCAATTTAATTTAGTGCCTTAGACACTAGACCTGAAATCAGCATGAAATAGGTCCTGTTCATTGAATATTTCAGCAGTCAGTGAAAATAAGGGGCTTTGAAAGTGAAAACTTTTCAGTAATCCCCAGGTGATGAGGGTCAGTGCGTTAGTAGGGTCTGCTTGTGATCCTGTGAATATTAAGTTCTCTAGAACAATTTTCCTGAGATTTGACAGTGTTTTATACAAATATGGTGTTAGAATAAAAGAAAAATAGAAGGTGTGTTTGTATAGTACTATAGGTAGTGTTTGTATAGTAGTATAGGTAGTGTTTGTATAGTACTATAGGTAGTGTTTGTATAGTATTATAGGTAGTGTTTGTATAGTACTATAGGTAGTGTTTGTATAGTACTATAGGTAGTGTTTGTATAGTACTATAGGTAGTGTTTGTATAGTACTATAGGTAGTGTTTGTATAGTACTATAGGTAGTGTTTGTATAGTACTATAGGTAGTGTTTGTATAGTACTATAGGTAGTGTTTGTATAGTACTATAGGTAGTGTTTGTATAGTACTATAGGTAGTGTTTGTATAGTACTATAGGTAGTGTTTGTATAGTACTATAGGTAGTGTTTGTATAGTACTATAGGTAGTGTTTGTATAGTACTATAGGTAGTGTTTGTATAGTACTATAGGTAGTGTTTGTATAGTACTATAGGTAGTGTTTGTATAGTACTATAGGTAGTGTTTGTATAGTACTATAGGTAGTGTTTGTATAGTACTATAGGTAGTGTTTGTATAGTACTATAGGTAGTGTTTGTATAGTACTATAGGTAGTGTTTGTATAGTACTATAGGTAGTGTTTGTATAGTACTATAGGTAGTGTTTGTATAGTACTATAGGTAGTGTTTGTATAGTACTATAGGTAGTGTTTGTATAGTACTATAGGTAGTGTTTGTATAGTACTATAGGTAGTGTTTGTATAGTACTATAGGTAGTGTTTGTATAGTACTATAGGTAGTGTTTGTATAGTACTATAGGTAGTGTTTGTATAGTACTATAGGTAGTGTTTGTATAGTACTATAGGTAGTGTTTGTATAGTACTATAGGTAGTGTTTGTATAGTACTATAGGTAGTGTTTGTATAGTACTATAGGTAGTGTTTGTATAGTACTATAGGTAGTGTTTGTATAGTACTATAGGTAGTGTTTGTATAGTACTATAGGTAGTGTTTGTATAGTACTATAGGTAGTGTTTGTATAGTACTATAGGTAGTGTTTGTATAGTACTATAGGTAGTGTTTGTATAGTACTATAGGTAGTGTTTGTATAGTACTATAGGTAGTGTTTGTATAGTACTATAGGTAGTGTTTGTATAGTACTATAGGTAGTGTTTGTATAGTACTATAGGTAGTGTTTGTATAGTACTATAGGTAGTGTTTGTATAGTACTATAGGTAGTGTTTGTATAGTACTATAGGTAGTGTTTGTATAGTACTATAGGTAGTGTTTGTATAGTACTATAGGTAGTGTTTGTATAGTACTATAGGTAGTGTTTGTATAGTACTATAGGTAGTGTTTGTATAGTACTATAGGTAGTGTTTGTATAGTACTATAGGTAGTGTTTGTATAGTACTATAGGTAGTGTTTGTATAGTACTATAGGTAGTGTTTGTATAGTACTATAGGTAGTGTTTGTATAGTACTATAGGTAGTGTTTGTATAGTACTATAGGTAGTGTTTGTATAGTACTATAGGTAGTGTTTGTATAGTACTATAGGTAGTGTTTGTATAGTACTATAGGTAGTGTTTGTATAGTACTATAGGTAGTGTTTGTATAGTACTATAGGTAGTGTTTGTATAGTACTATAGGTAGTGTTTGTATAGTACTATAGGTAGTGTTTGTATAGTACTATAGGTAGTGTTTGTATAGTACTATAGGTAGTGTTTGTATAGTACTATAGGTAGTGTTTGTATAGTACTATAGGTAGTGTTTGTATAGTACTATAGGTAGTGTTTGTATAGTACTATAGGTAGTGTTTGTATAGTACTATAGGTAGTGTTTGTATAGTACTATAGGTAGTGTTTGTATAGTACTATAGGTAGTGTTTGTATAGTACTATAGGTAGTGTTTGTATAGTACTATAGGTAGTGTTTGTATAGTACTATAGGTAGTGTTTGTATAGTACTATAGGTAGTGTTTGTATAGTACTATAGGTAGTGTTTGTATAGTACTATAGGTAGTGTTTGTATAGTACTATAGGTAGTGTTTGTATAGTACTATAGGTAGTGTTTGTATAGTACTATAGGTAGTGTTTGTATAGTACTATAGGTAGTGTTTGTATAGTACTATAGGTAGTGTTTGTATAGTACTATAGGTAGTGTTTGTATAGTACTATAGGTAGTGTTTGTATAGTACTATAGGTAGTGTTTGTATAGTACTATAGGTAGTGTTTGTATAGTACTATAGGTAGTGTTTGTATAGTACTATAGGTAGTGTTTGTATAGTACTATAGGTAGTGTTTGTATAGTACTATAGGTAGTGTTTGTATAGTACTATAGGTAGTGTTTGTATAGTACTATAGGTAGTGTTTGTATAGTACTATAGGTAGTGTTTGTATAGTACTATAGGTAGTGTTTGTATAGTACTATAGGTAGTGTTTGTATAGTACTATAGGTAGTGTTTGTATAGTACTATAGGTAGTGTTTGTATAGTACTATAGGTAGTGTTTGTATAGTACTATAGGTAGTGTTTGTATAGTACTATAGGTAGTGTTTGTATAGTACTATAGGTAGTGTTTGTATAGTACTATAGGTAGTGTTTGTATAGTACTATAGGTAGTGTTTGTATAGTACTATAGGTAGTGTTTGTATAGTACTATAGGTAGTGTTTGTATAGTACTATAGGTAGTGTTTGTATAGTACTATAGGTAGTGTTTGTATAGTACTATAGGTAGTGTTTGTATAGTACTATAGGTAGTGTTTGTATAGTACTATAGGTAGTGTTTGTATAGTACTATAGGTAGTGTTTGTATAGTACTATAGGTAGTGTTTGTATAGTACTATAGGTAGTGTTTGTATAGTACTATAGGTAGTGTTTGTATAGTACTATAGGTAGTGTTTGTATAGTACTATAGGTAGTGTTTGTATAGTACTATAGGTAGTGTTTGTATAGTACTATAGGTAGTGTTTGTATAGTACTATAGGTAGTGTTTGTATAGTACTATAGGTAGTGTTTGTATAGTACTATAGGTAGTGTTTGTATAGTACTATAGGTAGTGTTTGTATAGTACTATAGGTAGTGTTTGTATAGTACTATAGGTAGTGTTTGTATAGTACTATAGGTAGTGTTTGTATAGTACTATAGGTAGTGTTTGTATAGTACTATAGGTAGTGTTTGTATAGTACTATAGGTAGTGTTTGTATAGTACTATAGGTAGTGTTTGTATAGTACTATAGGTAGTGTTTGTATAGTACTATAGGTAGTGTTTGTATAGTACTATAGGTAGTGTTTGTATAGTACTATAGGTAGTGTTTGTATAGTACTATAGGTAGTGTTTGTATAGTACTATAGGTAGTGTTTGTATAGTACTATAGGTAGTGTTTGTATAGTACTATAGGTAGTGTTTGTATAGTACTATAGGTAGTGTTTGTATAGTACTATAGGTAGTGTTTGTATAGTACTATAGGTAGTGTTTGTATAGTACTATAGGTAGTGTTTGTATAGTACTATAGGTAGTGTTTGTATAGTACTATAGGTAGTGTTTGTATAGTACTATAGGTAGTGTTTGTATAGTACTATAGGTAGTGTTTGTATAGTACTATAGGTAGTGTTTGTATAGTACTATAGGTAGTGTTTGTATAGTACTATAGGTAGTGTTTGTATAGTACTATAGGTAGTGTTTGTATAGTACTATAGGTAGTGTTTGTATAGTACTATAGGTAGTGTTTGTATAGTACTATAGGTAGTGTTTGTATAGTACTATAGGTAGTGTTTGTATAGTACTATAGGTAGTGTTTGTATAGTACTATAGGTAGTGTTTGTATAGTACTATAGGTAGTGTTTGTATAGTACTATAGGTAGTGTTTGTATAGTACTATAGGTAGTGTTTGTATAGTACTATAGGTAGTGTTTGTATAGTACTATAGGTAGTGTTTGTATAGTACTATAGGTAGTGTTTGTATAGTACTATAGGTAGTGTTTGTATAGTACTATAGGTAGTGTTTGTATAGTACTATAGGTAGTGTTTGTATAGTACTATAGGTAGTGTTTGTATAGTACTATAGGTAGTGTTTGTATAGTACTATAGGTAGTGTTTGTATAGTACTATAGGTAGTGTTTGTATAGTACTATAGGTAGTGTTTGTATAGTACTATAGGTAGTGTTTGTATAGTACTATAGGTAGTGTTTGTATAGTACTATAGGTAGTGTTTGTATAGTACTATAGGTAGTGTTTGTATAGTACTATAGGTAGTGTTTGTATAGTACTATAGGTAGTGTTTGTATAGTACTATAGGTAGTGTTTGTATAGTACTATAGGTAGTGTTTGTATAGTACTATAGGTAGTGTTTGTATAGTACTATAGGTAGTGTTTGTATAGTACTATAGGTAGTGTTTGTATAGTACTATAGGTAGTGTTTGTATAGTACTATAGGTAGTGTTTGTATAGTACTATAGGTAGTGTTTGTATAGTACTATAGGTAGTGTTTGTATAGTACTATAGGTAGTGTTTGTATAGTACTATAGGTAGTGTTTGTATAGTACTATAGGTAGTGTTTGTATAGTACTATAGGTAGTGTTTGTATAGTACTATAGGTAGTGTTTGTATAGTACTATAGGTAGTGTTTGTATAGTACTATAGGTAGTGTTTGTATAGTACTATAGGTAGTGTTTGTATAGTACTATAGGTAGTGTTTGTATAGTACTATAGGTAGTGTTTGTATAGTACTATAGGTAGTGTTTGTATAGTACTATAGGTAGTGTTTGTATAGTACTATAGGTAGTGTTTGTATAGTACTATAGGTAGTGTTTGTATAGTACTATAGGTAGTGTTTGTATAGTACTATAGGTAGTGTTTGTATAGTACTATAGGTAGTGTTTGTATAGTACTATAGGTAGTGTTTGTATAGTACTATAGGTAGTGTTTGTATAGTACTATAGGTAGTGTTTGTATAGTACTATAGGTAGTGTTTGTATAGTACTATAGGTAGTGTTTGTATAGTACTATAGGTAGTGTTTGTATAGTACTATAGGTAGTGTTTGTATAGTACTATAGGTAGTGTTTGTATAGTACTATAGGTAGTGTTTGTATAGTACTATAGGTAGTGTTTGTATAGTACTATAGGTAGTGTTTGTATAGTACTATAGGTAGTGTTTGTATAGTACTATAGGTAGTGTTTGTATAGTACTATAGGTAGTGTTTGTATAGTACTATAGGTAGTGTTTGTATAGTACTATAGGTAGTGTTTGTATAGTACTATAGGTAGTGTTTGTATAGTACTATAGGTAGTGTTTGTATAGTACTATAGGTAGTGTTTGTATAGTACTATAGGTAGTGTTTGTATAGTACTATAGGTAGTGTTTGTATAGTACTATAGGTAGTGTTTGTATAGTACTATAGGTAGTGTTTGTATAGTACTATAGGTAGTGTTTGTATAGTACTATAGGTAGTGTTTGTATAGTACTATAGGTAGTGTTTGTATAGTACTATAGGTAGTGTTTGTATAGTACTATAGGTAGTGTTTGTATAGTACTATAGGTAGTGTTTGTATAGTACTATAGGTAGTGTTTGTATAGTACTATAGGTAGTGTTTGTATAGTATTATAGGTAGTGTTTTGTTGATAACAGAGGAGAAGTTCCAGGAGCTGTACACACCAGACGAAAAGGCTAAATTATACAGCGCCATCGGCTACGAGGAAGATGAGTCGGATCCAACACTGCCAAAGGAGGTAAGGCTTTCCTGTAGTTACACACACAGATCTAAGTGAATTCTTCTTCTTAGAAAATAATTACATCTTGTAAAAATATAATCTTATTTATTCTGGATGAAAATCATTCTGTTCATTTTTTGCTTCATTTTTATGTCGTTTCCATCATCACCAAGAGGTAAAATTCCATTAAAATGAGAGAAATGCTTGGACATAACTTGTTCATCACTGGTGGACTATTTCAGACTAAAGTTAGAAAGGTTCAGTTTTTAGACAATAATGATGAGTAAATATACAGTGTTGCTTTTTTCTTGAATCTTGCAATTATTTTGATAAATTATCATTTGTTGTCTTCGTAGGTTTCTCACTCTTCAATCTATTTTAATTTACCTGTTGACTTTTCAGTTTGTGGCAGTTAAGTTTGTGACCAAACTAAGCACTCTCTCCTTTACACTGAAAGATGAGGCAAGAAGGTAAACAGCCAATCATCTGTTTATAACAGGTCATGTGACCTAATGGACCAATCATCTGTTTATAACAGGTCATTAGGCCAAATGGACCAAACTTCTGTTTATAACAGGTCATGCGACCTGATTTGTGAATTGTCTGGCCTAATTGGCCTGTTGTCTGTCACTACAATGATTTCCTAATTTTAAAGTTAATTTTTAAAAACATTGTTCAAAATTAGGTCATTTTACATAATCCATCATAACTTAGGCAAGTGTTTAAGAAACTAAGATCAAGTGTGCGCTATTACTGAATGTGTACAAGATATATTTATAATGTTGCAGAGATCCACAAATTCTGCGATTGCAGTTGAAAGATGTCTTTTCATCATTTGGACAGAGACCTGCAGCTTCAGCTATACAGTAAGTTCCTAAAGTAGCCCAAGTCAACGTAGGTTAAACAAGGGAGGTAACTCTAACAAAATTACGGGGACGATATGTCACAACCACATCAAAGAAAGCAGTTTAATCTGATTAAACTCCTGTCTGTGTATATCCTATTATAACGCTTCTGTGTTGTCTTCCAGACTGGAGGCTAAAATTGACCGATTCACTGTAAATGGCGTCCAGCAGAATGGTCAGACACCTCAGATGGTTTTGTCACAGACAGAGGAAGCTGACCAGGTGTATTCTCTTCTCGACGTCCAGGTCGAAACTAATCCACTAGATGGCGCTTGTGACACGAGAGTTCGGGTCAACGCTCGACCGTTACAAATTGTGTACGATGCTGTAAGTAAACCTAGATTTCAAAGTGTTTCTTTCACATTTATAGAAATGTTTATTTCTATGATTAAAAGCTTAAAATAGGGAGATGTGTTTATGCCTATGCCATTTTATGGGGGGATTGGGGGAATATAGTATCACCCAAACCGGTCACTTCCTATCACGAATTACCTACTACCGACATCATTTCTAACAGATTTTCATCAAGGTTTAAACTAAGATCTCGTATGAGAATACCTTGAGTTAAAACATAGTTCAGGCCCCAAGGTCAAAGCCAAGGTCAATGACAAGGTCACTGTTGCTATTTATAGGTCAACCACATAGCTAAGAGGGGAGCTATGTCTTGAAATATGTTTCATTTGAATACTTTGTCATTGTGACTAATTTCCTTTTCCAATATAGATCACTGTGAACCAGTTGGCTGATTTCTTCAAACCTCCAGAGGATATCCGGCTACAACAGTAAGTATAAACATGTGTCGGCTATCAGGTCATGTTATAAAGTTTATGAATGAAAAAATCTATATTTAACTATGTCTATGTTCTATTAAGTTAGGTAAGCAGAGATGAAAGTTTTCAGCATTTTTGCTTATTTCAACCTTTGTCAGAATTTTTATGTAATGCAAACTTTAACTGATTTCCTAGAAAGTATTAGAAAATCTGAATTTCAACCATTTCCCCCATAATCCTATAAGATACATGGGGAGGTGAAAACAAGGCAGGGTGAATCATTTCCTAATTGAGTACTGTCTGTGAGGCTTGAGTACTGTGTGGCAGGCTTGAGTACTGTCTGGGAGGCTTGAGTACTGTCTGTGAGGCTTGAGTACTGTGTGGGAGGCTTGAGTACTGTCTGTGAGGCTTGAGTACTGTCTATGAGTATGAGTCTTGAGTACTGTCTGTGAGGCTTGAGAAATGTGTGGGAGGCTTGAGTACTGTCTGTGAGGCTGAGTACTGTCTGTGAGGCTTGAGTACTGTGTGGGAGGCTTGAGTACTGTCTGTGAGGCTTGAGTACTGGGTGGGAGGCTTGAGTACTGTCTGAGGCTTAAGTACTGTGTGTGAGGCTTGAGTACTGGGTGTGAGGCTTGAGTACTGGGTGGGAGGCTTGAGTACTGTGTGGAGGCTTGAGTACTGTCTGGGAGGCTTGAGTACTGTGTGGGAGGCTTGAGGACTGTGTGGGAGGCTTGAGTACTGTGTGACAGGCTTGAGTACTGTCTGTGAGGCTTGAATTCTGTCTGTGAGGCTTGAGTACTGTCTGTGAGGCTTCAGTCCTGTGTGGGAGGCTTGAGTACTGTGTGACAGGCTTGAGGACTGTCTGTGAGGCTTGAGTACTGTCTGTGAGGCTGAGTACTGTCTGGGAGGCTTGAGTACTGTGTGTGAGGCTTGAGTACTGGGGGTGAGGCTTGAGTACTGGGTGGGGGGCTTGAGTACTGTGTGGAGGCTTGAGTACTGTCTGGGAGGCTTGAGTACTGTGTGGGGGGCTTGAGAAATGTGTGGGAGGCTTGAGTACTGTCTGTGAGGCTTCAGTACTGTGTGGGAGGCTTGAGTACTGTGTGACAGGCTTGAGTACTGTCTGTGAGGCTTGAGTACTGTCTGGGAAGCTTGAGTACTGTGTGGGAAGCTTGAGTACTGTTTGGGAGGCTTAGTGAGAAGACCTATTTTTTCATGGAAAAGGGCTGATCGTTGATTTGGCTCAAACGTTACGTACTACTAGCTCCATATTTCAAATACAAGTTATTCCTTAGAAAACATTACAGAATTTTCTGTGTTATTTGGGCTCCAAATATGAGTTGTATTTTTTCAGAATTTGCGAAACCATCCAGTATCCCTCACTCTCTCTCATTTGTAATAAACAAAATCCATATTTACAGTGTCTTGATGCCTACAAACGATAAAACCTCTTGCAATATTTCCTTCTTCAAACTCGCTTCAAAAATGTTATAATTTTGGCATCAAGCACAGTGGATATAATGCCATTCCTTACACCTCATACCTTTTGTTACAAGAGACACACACTCTAGTCATATTTAAAGATTATGCGGCTTCAAGTAACGAAGTAGAACTGTGAATGACACAGAATGACTATTTCCTAGAATGGTATTGATAAAAAGGATAGGAATTATATTCAATTATTTTATTATCGTAAGCAATACAGCTTATTGATATTACATTACATGTATTATACACAACACAATGTCATACAAAGTCAAGTTCAAGCCATACACCAATAAGTCTATTCACTCTGAAGACAAGAGGTGTGACCTAGTTTCAAAAGCTTACACAATTTTTTTCTAAAATCATACAGTTCTGTAACATTTTCTGTACAAAGTTATTTCAATAGTTTATACATGGATGACTTGCATCGATAATAAGGTTTTAACAGTTTTTGTTGGAGGAAATCATATTCTTTACATATAAAAACAAAATGATATTCATCTTCTATTTAAGTACATAGTACATGTTGGGCATATACGGTTAGAAACAGCCTGCTTATTGTATCTTCCTGTTTCAATTGTTAAACAGTGCGCAGTCTTACAAAAACTACAAATTATATGTCAGTGTCATGTTTAATGTTGAATGGTGTTCTGTTGCCAGGATAAACCTCCAGTAAGTATATATGGTGGTGACCTTGTGGTGACCTTGTGGTATACAGTTGTAGTTTGGGCAAATGCCCATCTTTATTTATAGTCATCAAATTAATAGTTATTTTTGTGAACATGATCTTGTTAATATTGAAAGAGATCAGGCCTCTTTAGTAATAGGTTTTGCTAGATTTGTATGAAATAAGACTTCTCTCATACATTTTCATACATACAAATCAATTCCAATTTTTAAAACATTTTCAAATCTTTGGATAGTACACAGGTATTTTTTTAATGAATTATCATTGATCAAACAGAAACGAAATTGAGCTAAAATGACTTTTTTAACATTTCAGTACATATACACCGTATATGTAAGGAGTACAATCAAATTCAAATGTTCACTAAGATTTTTACCTGAAATAATTTTCTGTCAATAGTAAATTTTGCTATTTACAGAGAATTAGTTCAGGTAAAAAGCTTAATGAATATTTGAACTTTATTTTAAGTACTCTAGAATAGAATTTCTTAAGGGATATACCAGCATTCACACTTTACTAAAATGCAAATGCTGGTATTTGCTAAACATTTCTAATTAAATCCAAAAACAGAGTTTGCTTTTACCCAGAACCGCTGTTGTGGACTAATATTTATTTATTTGTGACTTTTGATCAGATGCTCATTCAAATTAATGTTAAAACTGAAAAGATCAACTTAGAAAAATACTGGCCTTTTATTTTGAAATTTAATGATTGTAGTTTAAATTTTAAATAATACATGAATGCTTCAGTTTAATACAAATATGGAAAAATAAAAAGGAAGCATTTAAAAAACATTATCATATTATAACGAAAAGCCCAAACTATGTACACTGTTGTTTGAAGTAACTCTCACCTTTATTGACAGATATCTCACCGGTGCTAAGTAACTCTCACCTTTATTGACAGATTTCTCAACGGTGCTAAGTAACTCTCACCTTTATTGACAGATTTCTCACCGGTGTTAAGTAACTCTCACCTTTATTGACAGATTTCTCAACGGTGCTAAGTAACTCTCACCTTTATTGACAGATTTCTCACCGGTGCTAAGTAACTCTCACCTATATTGACAGATTTCTCAACGGTGCTCAGTAACTCTCCCCGTTATTGACAGATTTCTCACCGGGGCTAAGTAACTCTCACCTATATTGACAGATTTCTCAACGGTGCTAAGTAACTCTAACCTTTATTGACAGATTTATCACCGGTGCTTAGTGCCTCTCGCCTTTATTGACAGATTTATCACCGGTGCTTAGTGCCTCTCGCCTTTATTGACAGATTTCTCCCCGGTGCTAAGTAACTCTCTCCTTTATTGACAGATTTATCACCGGTGCTAAGTAACTCTCACCTTTATTGGCAGATTTCTCACCGTTGCGAAGTAACTCTCACCTTTATTGACAGATTTCTCACCGGTGCTAAGTAACTCTCACCTTTATTGACAGATTTCTCACCGGTGCTTAGTAACTCTCACCTTTATTGACATATTTCTCACCGGTGCTAAGTAACTCTCACCTTTATTGACAGATTTCTCACCGGTGCTAATGTTGATAACTTCTACTAAATACAACTATGAAGCTGAAGATATTTCAGACAGTGAAATAATGCTGAAAAGCCATTAAAACTCATCTGTAATAGATAACAAACCCATTAAAACTCATCTGTAATAGATAAAAAAATAATAGATAAAAAAATCCATTAAAACTCATCTATAATAGATTAAAAAACCCATTAAAACTCATCTGTAATAGATAAAAAATCCAGTCAATCTCAACTTTAACAGATTAAAGTTTTTGTGTTTACTTGATTGCTTTTGCTGACATACATTTGTAAGATACTTTATCATAATTGCTGACATTAAAGTGATGTGTTTTTAACTCCAACTTTAGTAGAATAGATATTTTACTGTTTCTTTATTACAAGTTAAAATTGAGTGTTTGTCTCTTCCTGCCATCCAGATCAAAGCTGCAAAGTTGTTTCCAATTTGTTCAAAAATTATTTTAATTTATTTGAAAAAATAGTATTCTTATTGAATTCATTTTAGATATGTTTCTGTTTTATTTAGTTTTTTTTTTTTATTTCTATAAAAGTTGTTTTTAAATTTAACAATTTTGTTGAAAAATATCACAAAACAGGAAATACATTGTATTTGGTAGCGATTTCAAGTTTTCATGGATATTTTATTTACATTGATGGTACAGTGAACACAAATTTATACAATTTCATGAGTTAAATTTTTGCAGATTTCATTCTTTTTGTAAAAATTCCCGTCATAGAAATAGAAAATAACAATATTTCTGTATATTTTATGATAATAAAGTATTTCTAGAACAGGGGATTTGTTATTTCACTTATTTTGATTTGATGAAATAATTATTGGTTTGTGATTAATTTTGTCAAATATCACAGCTATATTGCTTCAAAAACCTTCTCCTTCATTTTCCATTTTGTATAATAGTTCAATAGAAATTTGCATATTTTTTCTTGATAGTGATAAGTTTTGATTTCGTTCAATTGAATGTAAATCTCATGTTACATCCCAGAGCATCCATAATTTTGAAGCATTTTTTTTTTCTTTTTTCCTCAAGCTGTTTTTGAATATTTTAAAATCTGTGAAAATAGAGAAAATGTGTGATTTTGACATAGAATGATGATGTGTAATGCTACGTACAGTTCCCTGAATGATAAACCTAAAACAGCAATGTTTTAGAGAGTTTTAATAGTATAGTATTATAGACTTGTCTTTGTACATTAACGTATACTTAAAAAATACCTGGTTGTCTGGATGTAATTATTGTTGATTTAATTACACACTTGTAATTATATCAACAATAATTACATCCAGACAACCAGGTATTTTTAAAATTTTCATATTTTTCTTTTTTAAGACATATTCCTACAAAAACCATTTGCCCTGCTTCAAAATACATTTCAGGCGGCCATTTTGTTTGTTTACATATTCCTACACCTGAAACAGGCAGTTGTAATTATAGTCGAGCAGTTGTAATTATAGTCTATATAATTACACTTGCCCTCTAACACTGTTGTAATGGGACGGCACGGGGGCAAATGTAAATATATGTATATAAGGGGAGGTCTTTGTACATTATATACATGTATATAAGGGGAGGTCTTGTTATATGTTTTATATATGAGGGAATTTTTTTCTCATTTGTACTGCACTAAAACCTGTCTCAATCTAAAAATACAGCAGAACCTGTCCAAATTGACCCCTGTATACCTTGGTAAATAGAAACCTGTATTAGAATGTCAGATCTCCCACAGTAGTCTGATATTGATATAAAACAAACTTTTAATCGAAAACCTCTCAGGAATAAGTTGTTATGGTTGGAGTAGAACTGTTCGTTCACAGCCTAAAGTGAAATACAAATTTAACATCAAATGAGCTCAATGACAACCAGACTCAACATTTTAAACTAGAATATTTTCAAAAATATCAAATAACAAAATTCAAGTTTTATGCATACAAAATTAAAATATCATCTCATGACAATAAGTATAGAAATATTTGTAACTATTAACCCTTTCACCCCTATGTAACTTTAGTGGACTCTACCATGCATTGATATGGATGAGTCCATTGTAGTCTACAGTGGTTAAAGGGTTAAGATAGGTAGCAAAAATCACATCTAAAAGTTTGTATTAATAATTGATTAGGCTGCATGGAACAATTCCTCGCAAATTTAGTTAAGACAGGTTTAATTGTAGGTGTGTAATTGATAAGTCTGGCATTTACCAGCTGTTTAGCTGACTTCTCTCGCTCTCAACCTCTCTATGGTCTATATATATATACCAGCTGTTTAGGACTGTGGCCGACTTCTCTCGATCTCAACCTCTCTATGGTCTATCATATACAAACATGACTGGGATAATGTCTTCATGATTTTGGTAAAATCTGTATGTTTACCAGATTGTATTGTATTATATATGTCCCCTCTGGTTCCTAGTAAAATCTGTATGTTTACCAGATTGTATTGTATTGTATATATCACCTCTGGTTCCTAGTAAAATCTGTATGTTTACCAGATTGTATTGTATTACATATGTTACCTCGGAGGCCTAGTATTACTGTATATTTACCAGATTGTATTGTATTATATATATCACCTCGGGTTCCAAGTATAACGGATCCTGTCAAGGTTTGCTAATGTATGTCATGCAGTATGATTGGCTTTTAGAGTGTTGATGATTCTCTTTCTTGACAGTTATATATGCATCCCTACTTTACCTGTGCGACAGAACTGACAAAATAAACATCGGTCAATGATTCTCTATCTTACAAATTTAATTAGCATGACAACAGGTTGAACTTATTGCTAGTAAAACAATGTGTGTTTTATTGTCTAGAGTACATTGGGCCTCTTGTTTATTGTCTAGATTTTGGGTATTCCGTTCCCTGTTGATGGGACAAAGTAATTTTTCAGTCATGCTCAGCTGATAATACTGAATTAATCCATGGCAAGAAACATCAAGTAAAGGTTCAGTACCAGTTAATCAGAATTTTACATAGAAGTTGTCTATGATAAAAATGGCACTGTAGAAGACAGAAAGTACAGAAAGAGTCAACAGTAGATAAGGAAAACTGTCACATAAAAAGTCCAGGTTTAAGTTTAAGGTAGATCAGAACTATTACGTACGATAAGATTTCCATGTTTTAGCAGATCATTTTTAATGCAATATAATAGAAAATTATACCTAGAAGTAACCAGTCAAAAATACAGTGAGTAAACAACATATATGATTTTTTTCTGAGAAAGGCCATATTTGTATGGAAAGATCCAATGATAAAATGCAAAATGTAGCAGGATGGAATTGTTATTGTTGGTAGTAACTAGGTCACAACAGACCCATGAGCTTGTGCCCCATGACCTTGTGTCACTATTGATATTATAATCATTTACTGTATTATTTCTAGGTTATCACAGGCAGCTGTTGCTAAATTTGAAGATTTAAAAGAACAGTCAGCAACAGGACTTCAGCACGCCATAGACCAGCGCAAGTACACTGACATCAGGATTGATGTGAAGTCGTCTTATGTTATCATACCCGAAGGAGGCTTCTACAAAAAGTAGGTCACTAGGACATAACTTAACAGATGGAGGGTTTTGCTAAAAGTAGGTCACTAGGTCATCATATCAAAGAAAAGTTTAAAAAAAATGGGGTCATTATGTAATTGTACCAGACAAAGGATTCTATAGAAAGTAGATCACTGTGTCATCGTACCAGAGGAAGGATTCTATAGAAAGTAGGTCACTGTGTTATCGTACCTTTGTACCAGAGGAAGGATTCTATGGAAAGTAGGTCAATTCTAAGACATAGAAGCAGAGATGGTCCGGTACAGAAAGTAGGTCAATACTAAGACATAGAATCAGAGATGGTCTGATACAGAAAGTAGGTCAATACTAAGACATAGAATCAGAGAAGGGCTTATACAGAAAGTAGGTCAATAGGTCTTTGTATCAGGAACAGGCTCCTGCTGCAGAAGGAATATCACCTGGCAATCATGCTAGAGGAAAGTACCTAAAGAAAGTAGGTCAGTAGGTCATAGTGCAGAGGGACACTTTTGCATAAAGTAGGTCACTAAATCATACAATTAGAGAACTTTAGAGAAATTAGGTCACTTCATCAAAATAACAGTTTTGAAATCTCTGAAAAAGATAAATCAGTAAAAATTTGAGTTAGAATTTGTTGTCACTGTTTGTAAGTTTTCCTAGGAAGTTGTTTGTTTTGTTTTAAACAGGAATTGTAAGCAGCTGATCCTTGACCTTGGTAACCTGAAGGTCAACAGTGAAAAGAACCAATCATCTTCTGGTGTCAAGGGTCAGGTAAGGTCACTAGGTCAAAGAAATATTTGAATGATTGCTTATGATTGAATTTGAGATTGAATGCATTTTAACTGCGTCTTTTTTAATTGACACTATACACACATGTTGTCATAGTTTGTTTGTTTTAATTGACACTATACACTCATGTTATCATAGTTTGTTTGTTTAAAATGACACTATACACACATGTTCTCATAGTTTGTTTATTTTAATTGACACTATACACCCATGTTGTCATCATTTGGTTGTTTTAATTGATACTATACAAACATGTTGTCATAGTTTGTTTTAATTGACACATGTTGTCATAGTTTGGTTGTTTTAATTGCCACTATACACACATGTTGTTATAGTTTGGTTTGTTTTAATTGACACTTCACACGTGTTGTCATAGTTTGTTTGTTAGTTTGTTTGTTTTAATTGTCACTATACACACATGTTGTCATAGTTTGTTTGTTTTAATTGACACTTCACACATGTTGTCATAGTTTGTTTGTTTAAATTGACACTATACACACATGTTATCATAGTTTGTTTGTTTAAATTGACACTATACACACATGTTGTCATAGTTTGTTTGTTTTAATTGTCACTATACACACATGTTGTCATAGTTTGTTTGTTTTAATTGACACTAAACACACATGTTGTCATAGTTTGTTTGTTTTAATTGACACTATATATACACACATGTTGTCATAGTTTGTTTGTTTTAATTGACACTAAACACACCTGTTGTCATAGTTTGTTTGTTTTAATTGTCACTATACACGCATGTTGTCATAGTTTGTTTGTTATAATTGACACTATACACTCATGTTATCATAGTTTGTTTGTTTAAATTGACACTATACACACATGTTATCATAGTTTGTTTGTTTAAATTGACACTATACACACATGTTGTCCTAATTTGTTTGTTTTAATTGACGCTATACACACATGTTGTCAAAATTTGTTGGTTTTAATTCACACTATACACACATATTGTCATAGGTTGTTTGTTTTAATTTACACTATACACACATGTTGTCAAAATTTGTTGGTTTTAATTCACACTATACACACATATTGTCATAGGGTGTTTGTTTTAATTGACACTATATATACACACATGTTGTCATAGTTTGTTTATTTTAATTGACACTATACACAAATGTTGTCATAATTTGTTTGTTTTAATTGACACTATACACACATGTTGTCAAAATTTGTTGGTTTTAATTGACACTATACACACATATTGTCATAGGTTGTTTGTTTTAATTGACACTATACACACATGTTGTCATAGTTTGTTTTAATTGACACTATACACCCATGTTGTCATTGTTTGTTTGTTTTAATTGACACTAAACACACATGTTGTCATAGTTTGTTTGTTTTAATTGACACTATACAAACATGTTGTCAAAATTTGTTGGTTTTAATTGACACTATACCCACATGTTGTCATAGTTTGTTTATTTTAATTGACACTATACAAACATGTTGTCAAAATTTGTTGGCTTTAATTGACACTATACACCTATGTTGTCATTGTTTGTTTGTTTTAAGTGACACTATACACACATGTTGTCAAAATATGTTGGTTTTAATTGACACTATACACATATGTTGTCATAGTTTGTTTATTTTAATTGACACTATACACATATGTTGTCATAGTTTGTTTTAATTGACACTATACACACATGTTGTCATTGTTTGTTTGTTTTAATTGACACTATACACACATGTTGTTATAGTTTGTTTGTTTTAATTGACACGATACTCACATGTTGTCATAGTTTGTTTTAATTGTCACTATACACACATGTTGTCATAGTTTGTTTTAATTGACACTACACACACATGTTGTCAATGTTTTTTGTTTTAATTGACACGATACTCACATTTTGTCATAGTTTGTTTTAATTGACGATAAACACACATGTTGTCATTGTTTGTTTGTTTTAATTGATACTATACACACATGTTGTCATAGTTTGTTTGTTTTAATTGACACTTTACACACATGTTGTCATTGTTTGTTTTAATTGACACTATACACACATGTTGTCATAGTTTGTTTATTTTAATTGACACGATACTCACATGTTGTCATAGTTTGTTTTAATTGACACTATACACACATGTTGTCATAGTTTGTTTTAATTGACACTACACACACATGTTGTCATAGTTTGTTTTAATTGACACTAAACACACATGTTGTCAATGTTGTTTGTTTTAATTGACACTATACACACATGTTGTCATAGTTTGTTTATTTTAATTGACACTATACACACATGTTGTCATAGTTTGTTTGTTTTAATTGACGCTAAACACACATGTTGTCATAATTTGTTTGTTTTAATTGACACTATACACATATGTTGTCATAGTTTGAATGATGGGTGTCACACTACAGGGAGTGTATTGTGATGTATTGTAATACAGATAAAATGTGTAGTGATAAGTGTCATGTTATATAGTGTGAAGGAAAAAATGGCAGTTCATCTAGAATGGTGCTTAATTTCAAAAGATTTGTATTGTCGTTGGATTCTTATAACTATATCAGGTTTTCATTGAACCTTTCATCAATGTCGGTATCACTGGGATGGCGGCATGTCAGGTAATTAAAACTTCTACACTACTATACACAGAGTTATGGCCCTTTGTTCACAACGCATACATTTATCCTCATCTCATAGACTCTGTAGTCTTCAATTACCAGATTTTGTATGTGGGTAGGTTATGTGGGTAGGTTATGTGGGTAGGCTATGTGGGTAGGTTATATAGGTAGGTTATGTGGGTAGGTTATATAGGTAGGTTATGTGGATAGGCTATGTGGGTAGGTTATATAGGTTGGTTATGTGGGTAGGTTATATAGGTAGGTTATATGGGTAGGTTATGTGGGTAGGTTATGTGGGTAGGCTATGTGGGTAGGTTATATAGGTAGGTTATATGGGTAGGTAATATAGGTAGGTTATGTGGGTAGGCTATGTGGGTAGGTTATATAGGTTGGTTATGTGGATAGGTTATGTGGGTAGGTTATATGGGTAGGTTTTATGGGTAGGTTATATGGATAGGTTATGTGGGTAGGTTATGTGGGTAGGCTATGTGGGCAGGTTATATAGGTAGGTTATATGGGTAGGTTATATAGGTAGGTTATATGGGTAGGTTATGTGGGTAGGTAATATAGGTTGGTTATGTGGATAGGTTATGTGGGTAGGTTATGTGGGTAGGTTATGTGGGTAGGTTATATGGGTAGGTTTTATGGGTAGGTTATATGGATAGGTTATATGGGTAGGTTATGTGGGTAGGTTATATGGGTAGTTTATATGGGTAGGTTATGTGGGTAGATTGTATGGGTAGGTTATGTGGATAGGTTATATGGGTAGGTTATATGGGTAGGTTATGTGGGTAGGTTATATGGGTAGGTTATGTGGGTAGATTGTATGGGTAGGTTATGTGGATAGGTTATATGGGTGGATTATGTGGGTAGGTTATATGGGTAGGTTATGTGGATAGGTTATATGGGTAGGTTATGTGGGTAGATTGTATGGGGAGGTTATGTGGATAGGTTATATGGGTAGGTTATGTGGATAGGTTATATGGGTAGGTTATGTAGGTAGATTGTATGGGTAGGTTTTGGGACAGGGGAGTGTTGATACTAAAATCCGGTCTTATACCACATTGTATACAGAGTTATAGCCAATTGTAAAATAAAATATGCAATATATTGCTTTGAGTTGTATTATTCTGTACAGTTTAAGTGTTAACAGTAAGTGTTTTAATTGTGTTAGATTTAGTTTTTAACAGGCTATCACATTGTATACTGTTGTACATTGCTTGTATCATGTTTTGCTTTAAGTATGAATCAAAGTTCAAGGCCGCTGCCTTGAAAGCCGGACAGAGTCATCCGCGGAGAAAACTGGTATTGTGTGACATTTCACGGTGTATATTGTAATCAAAATATTCTTATGTGGTTTCTTTTTCCATCTTAATGTTGGGGATCAAAGGTCAAGATCACTGTTACTATAAATAGAAAATCTTGTTATCACTGTACTAGCTTTGTATTTTCAGGATTTAGATGAATCTTCATCCAAGTTTTCAGTCCACAATTAATTCATTTTTTTAGGGTTATCAAAAGTCCAGGTCGCTGTCACAAAAAAAGTAGAAAATATTTGGGATTGTTATGCTTGATTCTAATATATGATATTAGAATTCATGTCTCACAGATGTTGTCTAGTTTATCTTAAAATCTCAAAATCATACTGGAAAAAAATCGTGAAAGTAATATTATCCAACAAACTAAAAGATAGATAAATAATTCTGGTCAATTCAAAGATAAATAAATAATTCTGGTCAATTCAAAGATAAATAATTCTGGTCAATTCAATAATGTTATTAAAATTATAATATATAACTTTGACCTTGGCTCAAGGTCACTATGATTGGTTCAAGGTCACATCTGTAGATCAGTCATCATGACCTTAGTTCAAGGTTGTCACCTCTTTTGTTGAAGGTCACTGTTTCAAATTCAGAAGTGGAAAATAAAATATCTGAATTTAGGTTGTTGCATGCGTTTCATCACTAGTGCTGAGGATGTCTGTTCAACAATAATACTGTGGGTTACTGCTCAACCTTTTCTTTCATAATTGTATAATTGTTCTGCACCACTTCAGGAAGATATGTGTAGTAAAACCAGGGCCCGTATTTGACTGTTGGATCGTTTGACTAGATTTAAGCAGGTTACAAGAAAGTTGCTTTGAGCACAAAATGCATGCTTGAGCATCAGATTGGTTTCATGGATACATGCCCTGGCTATAAAGACCACCTGTCTATGAGGACTATCTGTCTATTAACACCCTCTTTCTAGTAAGAACATGTTTATAAAGACTGCCTGATATAAAGGTCATCTTTCTAATAAAGACCACTTGGTTTTATGAAGACAGCCTAGCTTTATAGACAGATTTTGCTCTCATTGACCAAACATATTAACATGTTTCACTTTGTTTGAAAACAATTTTAAGGAGAAAACACATTTCATTTATTTCATATTTTGGAATAATGTTTACATTTAAAAAGGAAAATTGTAAGATTTCGTTATAACATTGCTAAATTTATTTTGAATTATTCCTCTACAAATGGCTTTTAAAAGGTACTTTTAGAAATTAATTCGTGTATTTTTTTTCAGAATGTTATCACAATCAATTTTAATTTCAAATTTAATGAATTAAATGATAAATCAAAATTATTACAAAAAAAAGGAATCACAAATATTATTGATCATTTCTTTGCCACTTTAGCCCTTTCACCACTGTAGACCATAGTGGACTCATCCAGAACAATGCTTCGTGGAGTCTACTAAGGTTACATAGGGGTGAGAGAGTTAACTCTGCTACTTTTTGGTCTTCTATCACTACATTTCATTGGTGGTAAGAATGTTGTATCTATCATACCTATCAACTCTCACTCACCTTCTGTTGGCTAGCTATATAGCTGGGGAAGTTGGTCGGGTGTTAGCCTTCTTTTCTCAAATGTAACGGGATTTCTAAAATATTTTTATGAATCTTCAAAACTAAGTAAGACGTGTCAGAGATTTATCATTAAGTTATCAGTAAACTTGGACCAATGTATGTATTAACATAATTCCTGAGCATGTATTTTCTGAAAGTAAATCATAGCCTTTTTATATAGATATATAGTTCAGTAATAAGAAAATAATTAATTTACAATATTTTTATATATTAAACTGTCTATATGGGTTAGGGTTAACATTTCCCTGGAATTCAAAAATATATTTTGATTTATCTTTTTACGGATATCATTTTGTGGTTATTATGGTTTAAAATATCACCAGTGACTTAATTAGGGAAAAATTACTTCCAAACAATTGGTTGATAGATTAAGGCTTCATGTATGTTTAATGTCTTTGTCTACTTTCTATCTTATTGTCCATGTAGATATTTTTCCACCATACAGAAAAACGGTCCTAAGAGCACATTTATGTCATTTTTCCTTTTTTTAGTTTTAAAACATGTACTGGAAATAAACTATATAGGAATCAAAAAATAAAATAATAATAATAGAAAACACCTTAAAGTGTTGATACACTTTAAACCAGAGAATATTAAGATGAGGCCTGAGTTGTATTGGAGCCCTGTACAACCAGCTTATATATTGTGACTTTTTAATTTAATATTTTTTACAAGTATGAGGGACCATTTACGTTCTTTGTTTTAAGAAAATAATCATGGTTATGAATTTAGGTATTTGAATGATTTTAACAAAAAACTAATAAAAATTTAACGTAGGAGATCTTTAACATAATTAGACGTAAATTGTCTCGGGCTGTATGTATGTAATTGGAAGAAAAATAAAGATAAAAAAGATATACACACAAGGGCAGAAATGGAAATCAGAGGTGTGGTTGCAAAATTTTATAGATTTATGAAATTGGGCGTTTCACTTGTTGGTTGATAGTGTATAGATTTGGAAGTAAGACTTGATAACATACTGTATGCTGTAATAGGAATTCCTGCTGTAATTTAGGAGAACCTATACTAACGGTGTTATTACAGATATTTGTTATTTCCTTAACAGCTGGACACCGTGGAGGAGATCATTAAGCGAGCCTATGATAAATTCAACATCGAAATTGACAGAACACAACTTCTCTTTGTCAATGCAGGTAAGGTTACACTAATCTTACAACTGGATTTTATACAATTAAAATTGCAATTTGTTTCAGTATTTCAAAGAAAAAGTGATTTATTAATATGAAATGCTATTATGAAATAAAGGGAATGACACAGATTTACAATATAATGAAAATCTTCAAAGTCTTACCGACAGCTGTTAAAAACTAAAATTGACTACGAAATAACGATCAATATTGAGGAAATAAATTAGAAAAAAGATGATACAGTACCATATTTCCTTATTCTGTGTGATCTACAAACTAAAGTAAAGGAAATGATAATATTTCAATAATTGGTTTAACAAAATTAGTAATATTTGTGATGATGTTGATTGTTGTTAGGACTTCTTTTCATGCTCTTTTGGTCAGAACTTTGGCCCCATTCCCAATGGATTTCCTTTTTTTTAAATCATCTTTCATTCATATGGCAATATAACGTTAAACATTTGAAATGAATTTTCTTGAAGAAGTATGGATGTTTTAAGTCTTAGATGATCTACACAAATGATCTAAACAAGTCCACACAACTGGCTCTAAATTCAACATATATACAAAGTAAACTAGTGGGAAACCCAGTAACATGTTGGTGTTTAGCTCACCTGTCTTGAAGGCCAGTAACACGTTGGTGTTTAGCTCACCTGTCTTGAAGGCCAGTAACATGTTGGTTTTTAGCTCACCTGTCTTGAAGGCCAGTAACATGTTGGTGTTTAGCTCACCTGGCTTGAAGGCCAGTAACATGTTGGTTTTTAGCTCACCTGGCTTGAATTAAGGCCAGTAACATGTTGGTTTTTAGCTCACCTGGTTTGAAGGCCAGTAACATGCGGAGATGAAGGACTATCAAGTTTGTTGAAATGAATAACCTTGAATTACATTTTGAATAACCTTGAATTACATTTTGAATAACCTTGAATTACATTTAAGGTATCAGGAGACAAAATATTCAAAACCTTTTAACAACTTCTTCTATATAAAGGAAAGGCCTGGGGTGATGATATTTCCCCAGAAGCATACTCGGATGAAGGGCTACCAAATTTGTTTAAATGAATGACCTTCACCCATATTCAAGGTCACATGGCTCAGATATGTTAAAAACTTTTAACAACTTCTTCCCAATAACCAAAATTCCTAGGGTTATGATATCTTTGGCTAGTAGCATGATTGGGATGAAGTGCTACCAAGTTTGTTCAAATGAATGACTGTTGGGCCTCTTGTTATTGACACACATTGAGCTGATATTCATCCAGAAAAATGATCCAGTTGTGAACCTGAGTGAAGGTAATGTTATATATTGACAGGAGAGGACTGGCAGTCTGTGCGGACACTGGCCGTGTCTCCGTTACACGTTCTTGAGCCCATATCTCTGTCGGTGTGCCTACAGAAGTGTATGTTTGACAAGGACTCCCGTATGGCCAAGTATGTATAATTACAGTAATTATTTTTAATGGGAGAATTTCCAACAGAATGACAGTCTTTATATACATGTACAGTAGGTGTTTATATACAATAGGTCTTAATAGACAAGAAATGTTTTTTGAAGGCATAAGGAAGACAATGGAAGACAATGGGGAACGTTAGAGTTCCCGGTAGTTTGAAAACCAAGGAACTCTTTTCACTCTCAGGAATTCATTTAGTGATGAAATAATTCAGTATTTAAATTTTAACAGAGAAAATCAATTCCTAATACTTCTCTCTGCATCTTAAGAACTTGCCTACCAAACAAAACTAATTTTCTACCAATCAGGATGAAGGTGTCTGGGGAGTTAAAACTGCTGAGCCTGACAATATCAGATGCCCGACTACAGGAGATCATACAACTTGTAGACAGTATACCCCTACCTGAGTCAGCTCCCCCACCAGACGAGGATGACATCTTCAAGGTATTTATAGATCTGACTACATATTTATGTATAGTGGGACAACCAGAATAGTGGGGGTTTGATAGTGATATATTTAAGGGGCCGCGGTGGCCAAGTAATTAAGGCATCTGACATTCTTCTACCACTAGCCCTCCACCACTGGGTTGCGGTGAGAGGCCTAAGCAAGGCATTCCCCAGGTACTGGCCGTAGGTTGGTGGTTTTTCTCCGGGAACTCCGGGTTTCCTCCACCACGAAAAACCTTGCATGTCCTTAAATGACCATAGCTGTTAAAAAGACGTAAACCACAAACAAACCAAACCAAACATAGAGATATAACCAGATCAGTGGTAACTAGATAGTGGTAGAACCAGATTGGTGGTAACTAGATAGTGGTAGAACCAGACTGGTGGTTACTAGATAGTGGTAGAACCCGATTGGTGGTAACTAGATAGTGGTAGATCAGATTGGTGGTAACTAGAAAGTGGTAGAACCAGATAGTGGTAACAAGATAGTGTGGTAGAACCAGATTGGTGGTAACTAGATAGTGGTAGAACCAGATTGGTGGTAACTAGATAGTGGTAGAACCAGATCAGTGGTAACTAAATAGTGATAGAACCAGATCAGTGGTACCTAAATAGTGGTAGAACCAGATAGTGGTAAATAGATAGTGGTAGAACCAGATTGGTCGTAACTAGATAGTGGTAGAACCAGATAGTGGTAACTAGATAGTGGTAGAACCAGATAGTGGTTACGAAATAGTGGTAGAACCAGATAGTGGTAACTAGATAGTGGTGTTGCTGGCTTGATACATGACTTACTGGATAAGTTGTTGCTTGATAAACAAGATCAAGCGCTATATTGAATATGTGTGGAAATGTTGTTTTTATTGTGAGTATATATTAGAGTTAACAGGTTTTACTGTATGTTTACAGAGTGCTACTGACATCCCTGTGACAGATCTAAACGCTAACCAGCTAAGTCTGGCTGATGTGGCTGTGGTGGCTGTGGTCGACAAAAAGGTAAGAAATACGATGATTTCAACCGAGGTCAACGAAATACAGAGAGGTCAATCAGGGTCAAAGAGATAGGGTGAGGTTAATCAGGATCAAAGAAAGAAAGAGGTCAATCAGGGTCGGAGAATAGGGTGAGGTCAATCAGTGTCAACGAAATAAGGTAAGGTCAATAAGGGTCTAAGAAATAGGGTAAGGTCAATCAGGGTCAAAGAAATATAGGGAGGCCAACTGGGGTCAACGAAATAGGAAGAAGTCAATCAGGGTCAAAGAAATATGGGGAGGTCAACTGGGGTCAACGAAATACAGAGAGGTCAATCAGGGTCAAAGAAATAGGGTGAGGTAAATCAGGGTCTAAGAAATAGGGAGAGGTCAATCAGGGTCAACGAAATAGGGGGAGGTCAACTGGGGTCAATGAAATACAGAGAGGTCAATCAGGGTCACAGAAATAGGGTGAGGTCAATCAGGGTCTAAGAAATAGGGAGAGGTCAATTAGGGTCAAAGAAATATGGGGAGGTCAACTAGGGTCAACGAAATACAGAGAGGTCAATCAGGGTCAAAGAAATAGGGTGAGGTCAATCAGGGTCTAAGAAATAGGGAGAGGTCAATCAGGGTCAACGAAATAGGGGGAGGTCAATCAGGGTCTAAGAAATAGGGAGAGGTCAATCAGAGTCAAAGAAATATGGGAAGGTCAATCAGGGTCAACGAAATAGGGGGAGGTCAATCAGGGTCTAAGAAATAGGGTGAGGACAATCAGGGTCAAAGAAATATGGTGAGGTCAATCTGGATGAAAGAAATAGGGAGAGGTCAATAAGGATCAAAGAAATAGGGTGAGGTCAATCAGAGTCTAAGAAATAAGGTAAGGTCAATTAGGGTCAAAGAAATAAAGGGAGGTCAACTGGGGTCTAAGAAATAGGGAGAGGTCAATCAGTGTCAAAGAAATATGGGGTGGTCAACTGGTGTCAACGAAATACAGAGAGGTCAATCAGGGTCAAAGAAAAAGGGTGATGTAAATCAGGATCTAAGAAATAGGGAGAGGTCAATCAGGGTGAAAGAAATATCGGGAGGTCAAGTGGGGTCAACGAAATACAGAGAGGTCGATCAGGGTCAAAGAAATAGGGAGAGGTCAATCAGGGTCTAAGAAATAGGGAGAGGTCAATCAGGATCAAAGAAATATGGGGAGGTCAACTGGGGTCAACAAAATACAGAGAGGTCAATCAGGGTCAAAGAAATAGGGTGAGGACAATCAGGGTCAAACAAATATGGTGAGGTCAATCAGGGTCAAATAAATAGGGTGAGGTCAATCTGGATCAAAGAAATAGGGATAGATCAATAAGGGTCAAAGAAATAGGGTGAGGTAAGTCTTGATCTAGATGATATCACAGAGATAAACTTCAAAGCCAAACTAAATGATATAAATAATATTCTAAAACATTGGTACAAGAGAAGATTTACTGTTCTTGGTAAAATAACAGTTGTTAAATCCCTACTGATCCCAAAACTGACTCCCCTTTGTATGAGTCTACCTTAACCAGAGGGTCAATTCTTACTGATCCCAAAACTGACTCACCTTTGTTTGAGTCTACCTAAACCAGATGGTAAATTCTTGAAGGAGTTAGAAAGCATTTTCTATATACATATTTGGAATAGTAGAGATAGAAGTGCCAGAAACCAGATTATTCAGGATTCTAAGAATGGTGGGTGTAGAATGACACATTTACTGTCTTTTAATAAAGCTTTAAAACTGACATGGATACAGAGAACTGTAAACACAGATGCTAGTTGGGAATCAATAGTATAAGATGTATATAATACCACAACCAACAAGTTAATGTTGTTTGGTGACGTGGATACGGGGATCTGTAAACACAGATGCTAGTTGGAAATTAATAGTATTAGATGTATATAATAACACAACCAACAGGTTAATGTTGTTTGGTGACGTGGATACGGAGAACTGTAAACACAGTTGCTAGTTGGGAATCAATATTAGAGGATGTATATAATACCACAACCAAGAGGTTAATGTTGTTTGGTGACGTGGATACGGAGAACTGAAAACACAGATGCTAGTTGGAAATTAATAGTATTAGATGTATATAATACAACAACCAACAGGTTAATGTTGTTTGGTGACGTGGATACGGAGAACTGAACACACAGATGCTAGTTGGAAATCAATAGGATTAGATGTATATAATACCACAACCAACAGGGTAATGTTGTTTGGTGACGGGATACGGAGAACTGTAAACACAGTTGCTAGTTGGGAATCAATATTAGAGGATGTATATAATACCACAACCAAGAGGTTAATGTTGTTTGGTGACGTGGATACGGAGAACTGAACACACAGATGCTAGTTGGAAATCAATAGGATTAGATGTATATAATACCACAACCGACAAGTTAATGTTGTTTGGTGACGTGGATACGGGGAACTGTAAACACAGATGCTAGTTGCAAATCAATAGTATTAGATGTATATAATTCCACAACCAACAGGTTAATGTTGTTTGGTGACGGGATACGGAGAACTGTAAACACAGACGCTAGTTGGGAATCAATATTAGAGGATGTATATAATACCACAACCAACAGGTTAATGTTGTTTGGTGACGGGATACGGAGAACTGTAAACACAGATGCTAGTTGGGAATCAATATTAGAAGATGTATATAATACCACAACCAACAAGTTAATGTTGTTTGGTGACGTGGATACGGAGAACTGTAAACACAGACGCTAGTTGGGAATCAATATTAGAGGATGTATATAATACCACAACCAACAGGTTAATGTTGTTTGGTGACGGGATACGGAGGACTGTAAACACAGATGCTAGTTGGAAATCAATAGTATTAGATGTATATAATGTTATGAATTACTATAATACTGTAAAATATATATCTGCATGCAATGGTAAACTGGTGGCATTCCATCAAAAATGGAGACTACTATCAAATTTAGTTACAGAAATCCAGTAACCTGTATGCATAACTAGTTTATGCAAACGTTGTCTAAATTCCCGCATAAATGTAAGTCAGACCTGAATACTATATTCTCTTGTATTACATAACAGTACCACTTGTTCAATTATATAAATTTAAAGTATCAATTCATTCCAAGAAGTAAGGTAGTGTGAGCGAAAGTTGTGTCCTTGTAATGTGTATTGTATATTGTAGATATATGTGAAAAATGCAAATGAAAAAATGTCAAAATAAAAATAATAAAAATTAGGGTCAAATAAATATGGTGAGGTCAATCAGGGTCAACGAAATAGGGGGAGGTAATTCAGGATCAAAGAAAGAAAGAGGTCAATCAGTGTCAGAGACATAAGGTGAGGTCAATCAGGGTCAAAGAAATAGGGTCTGGTCAATAAGGGTCAAAGAAATATGGTGAGGTCAATCAAAGTCAAAGAAATATGGTGAGGTCAATCAGGGTCAAAGAAAGAGGGTGAGGTCAATCAGGGTCAAAGAATTAGAGTGAGGTCAATCAAGGTTACTAAATCAGACTGAATGAGTTTTGAATTGGCTGACTATAATTGTTTTGTGTTATAGGTGGACAAGGACATGGAAAGGTCAACCTCACAGGATCTCACTAACTACACTGACCTTGAACTTAAGTTTGAGGTGAAGAAGGTAAAGTAAACACAAGTGACAGAATGACAGTGATGGACCATTAAGTCTTGTTTGCTGACATTTTCAAAATTACCTAAATTCTCAACAAAACTGCTCGTATAAGGATGAAAAATAAGTAATTTTGAAATGAACTTATCACCTTGTACAACCTTGACCTCCCTAGTTGACCTTGACCTTTGGTATTCCAGGTGTGTGTAAACTTACTGCAGCACACAAGTGTCGAGGACATACTTGTGCTGAAACTGGTTGTTGAGTCCATTGGGACACAGCTGGCGATTCGTACACATGACATGAGTGCGGAGGCTTACATTGGCGGCGTCTACCTACAATATCTCAAGGAGAAAGGTTAGTCAGTGATAAATGTTGGTACATACAGAAAGTTTGGTCATGTTATACAGACAAAGTTCAGTCAGCACAGTGGGAAATGTTCGTGAGTTAAGATGGAAAGGTTAGTTAGTTCATTGGGAAAGGTCAGTCAGGTCAAAGGTCAGTACCAATCAGAGAACACATGAGAAGGCAATGGAAATATAACAGTTCAGTGTAACTCAGTGATACATACCTATGACATCACTGAAATAAATATACACAAGCTCCTAGAAATCTCTTCACTTTATTGAAAGGTATAAATGTACATTAAACTCAGTAGTTTAATAAAAACAGTGTGCTTTTTTTATTCAATCCAATTTTGTAGCATTTTTATTTTCTGAACGTTTTTAATAAAACCTTGAGCTGAAATAATTCTAATCAGCATGTGTTAATCTTGCAAATGATGTTTTTATTTCATTATCATGAATTTGTTCATTAAACATTCTCATGAGTCCAACCTGGCTTTTGAAGTTAAAAGTTGGCGTTAATGCATTATTGGTAAAGGAGAGCATTGTGGGTAATGGAAAGCATGGTGTGACTCAGAATAGAACATTTCATTTAACATTTCATACACTTTTTAAGAAAATTCTTTTTATAAATTATAATGCTATTTTTTGTTGCTTTTATCATCATGATGTCATCGTCGCACTGTCGTCACTGTGCCGTGAACTTTGAGATTGATTACAATAACAATGTGTTAGTGTTTTGTTCAATACTTCAGATAACAGACCTTACAAACTACTTATCATACCAAAATAGCATTTAAGGTTAGGTACCTGATAATGTAATTCTGCTGACTAGAGGGTCTGATACCAAATCTGTATGGTGGGAGATTAGCTGATAGTATCGTATTCCTATAAAAGGTGACATGTTTTGATTTCGTTCTGTAAATAAGGTTAGATACTTCAATTTGCGACTACACATGTCTGTGTTGTAAATGTATCTTAACCAGAACTGCTTTTGAAATGAGAATTACTGTCAGTAGAAACTAAACGGTTCTGTGATCCCTAGAAAGTAAGTTAAAATGTTATTTTCAAATGGGTCCCTTTTTGCTGAAAAGAAAGTATTTACATGACAGTTTGGGAGAGGGGGGCAGGCTCCAAGTATGGGCTTTTCTCTGGTGATATCTGTTTAAGGGTGGATGGGCTTACCAAGGCAGTAATTGCTCTTGATTCACATTTTTTTTTAAAGCTGTTAGCTGAATTGTTATCTAATTTACATCTCCTAGATTTTGGAGAGAAAACCTATTCCAGGACCAAAAGTAAGCGTTTGATTGTTCAGGCCAGTGTGTTTACAATGATTAAAGTTTCCCTCTGTGCTTCAAAAAAATGAAGCAATGTTTTTTTAATGAAAACAAAATAGACCAGTGTAGAACTTTTCATTGAAGCTTTAATCATATTTTTGCATCTTGATATTGACAACTGGCCTGGATGTTGGTGACAAGCATCCACACAACCTGTACCGGGGACCCAGTAGTCTACTAACCATTCATAAAACTTACCCATACGCTCACAAACAAAGCAGTTCATAAGATATATTCAAAGAGAAAATATATTCTTTCTCCAGTTTGTCAACAAGATTTCACCTCTGTTTTTAAGTTATTGTTCATGTGTCAATGTTTTGTGTTTTCTCGTCCTATTCTGTTGTTTTCATTAATTCATTATTAGATTCGTTGCAATGGCATCATAAAATCTCATTACCTTTAAAATTTCCTAGAACACGCTCATTTGCATATTGTATGATAGATAATATTCTCATGATTTCAAAATAATCTGTTCAATAATCTATAGTATTATTTTTGCTCTTTTCTGTTACTTTGTATTATATTAATATTACTTTGAATTATAATTATTATTACTTGCTATTAAAATTATTATTACTTTGTATTATAATTATTATTAACAACTGTTTATCTGATAAAAAGTAATGTTCGCAAATTTGATGAAACAAAATTTGTCTCATTCAAAAACAATTTGTTGAAAAAAAATCTTGTCAACCAGAATGCTTTTGACATAAAAGAAAGTGATTTGAATGTCAGATAGAAGTTCTATTAGTGATTGCTTGACAATTTTTACAGAATAACCTTGAATTTACAAAACTAAATGATTTCCTGGAATGCTGACGATTGACAACTAATTGATTACCTGAAATGTTGACGACTGACAGTTAACTGATAACCTGGAATTTTGATGACTGACAGTTAACTGATTGCCTGGAATGTTGACGATTGACAACTAATTGATTACCTGGAATGTTGACGACTGACAGTTAACTGATAACCTGGAATTTTGATGACTGACAGTTAACTGATTGCCTGGAATGTTGACGACTGACAGTTAACTGATTACCTAGAATGTTGATAACTGACAGTTAACTGATCACCTGGAATGTTGACGACTGACAATTAACTGATAACCTGGAATGTTGATAACTGACAGTTAACTGATAACCTGGAATGTTGACGACTGACAGTTAACTGATAACCTGGAATGTTGATGAATGACAGCTAACTGATAACCTGGAATGTTGACAACTGACAGTTAATTGATTACGTGGAATGTTGACGACTGACAGTTAACTGATTACCTGGAATGTTGATAACTGACAGTTAACTGATTACCTGGAATGTTGACAACTGACAATTAACTGATAACCTGGAATGTTGATAACTGACAGTTAACTGATAACCTGGAATGTTGATGACTGACAGTTAACTGATAACCTGGAATGTTGACAACTGACAGACAGTTAACTGATTATCTGGAATGTTGACGTCTGACATTTAACTGATTACCTAGAATGTTGACAACTGACAGTTAACTTATAACCTTGAATGTTGACAACTGACAGTTAACTTATAACCTTGAATGTTGACAACTGACAGTTAATTGATTACCTGGAATGTTGACGACTGAGAGTTAACTGATAACCTGGAATGTTGACAACTGACAGAGAGTTAACTGATTACCTGGAATGTTGACGACTAACAGTTAACTGATTACCTGGAATGTTGATGACTGACAGTTGACTGATAACCTGGAATGTTGACAACTGACAGACAGTTAACTGATTACCTGGAATGTTGACGTCTGACATTTAACTGATTACCTGGAATGTTGACAACTGACAGTTAACTGATAACCTTGAATGTTGACAACTGACAGTTAACTGATTACCTGGAATGTTGACGTCTGACATTTAACTGATTTCTTGGAATGTTGACAACTGACAGTTAACTGATAACCTGGAATGTTGACAACTGACAGACAGTTAACTGATTACCTGGAATGTTGACGACTGACATTTAACTGATTACCTGGAATGTTGACAACTGACAGTTAACTGATAACCTGGAATGTTGATGACTGACAGTTAACTGATAACCTGGAATGTTGACGACTGACAGTTAACTGATTACCTGGAATGTTGACAACGGACAGTTAACTGATAACCTGGAATGTTGACGACTGACAGTTAACTGATTACCTGGAATGTTGACGACTGACAGTTAACTGATTACCTGGAATGTTGACGACTGACAGTTAACTGAATTGTGATGCATTTTGTTTTTTGAGTGTTGTCATGTTTGTATGCCTTTATTGTTTGTTTATTTGCATGTTATCAGCCTCCGAAACATTGGTTCAAAAGCTAGAAGCAGCAAAAGGTTTGTTATTATATTTTGGTTCTAGTTTATTTTATTTATAGCTTTTTTGGTCTATTATTCTACAGTGGACATATTCACAGTTTTTCTGATTTGTTACTTAATGATTTGGTTATATAAATCTTCATAATATTTTTCTACAAATACTACCTGAAATGTGTGAGAATTTTAATAAATCAATTCCAGTAAGATTCTGAATTTGTTTACATTACAAGACTTAGAGTTTAGATTCTTGTTCTAAGTTTACTCACTAAAACCCGGAGTGTTACTTGTATTTTGTAAAAAAAAAAAATTATGTTTATATTCAATTAATATTAATGCATAAACTGTAAATAAAAAAAACTGTATAGCCCAGACACCTTTATAAACCAGATATTTTGCTCAGTCACATTGTATTCATTTCTATGTCAATTGAGTGCTGTAAAATCCAATTTTCTGTCTCTTTTGAAAAAAAGAAATAATTAAAAAAACATTTGCAAGAAAAAAGCATTGTAAAATAAGGTGGGAACAAGTAGCTGAGTTTTATATATTATCTATTTTGTAGTAAAAAACAAATTGCTGTCCTATTTCAAGTTAAAGGAATATTTCTGTATTTTTAATATATCTTTAATATTTCAAAATTTTCGCCAAAAAGGTAATGTGCATCTGATATATTGAGAATGATTTTGAGAATAAACTTGAATTCCAAATGCCCTGGATAATTCGTACCAATCTATATATAGACACTTAAACTATTGTTCTTAAGAAGAAACTTGAATTTATGCTTTAAAGTGTAAGTACTATGAATCATTGATAACATTTATTCCAGTCGAGCCAGGCGTTTAACTTCATTAGTTGGTTACATCTGTCAGATTGCAATGAAATCATGATCTATGACAGTAAACTGTAGACATTATAGGTATATATAGAAATTCCTCTAAACACTGTACTGGTAGTACATGTACAAACTGTATGATCTATGACAGTAATATGTAGACATTATATGTATACTGCTAGTACAAACTATATGACCTCTCAGAGTGTTAACTATAATCACCCGTTGTTTGATATTCTGTTGCAGCTACAAAACGCTCTATATCAGGTTAGAAACACTGGTGGTGATGATGTGATATTTGGTTTTGATGCTTGCTGTAACATCATCATAATGTAGTCAACATTCCACTTTAGCNCCTGACATTTCCTGGAATTGTGTTTAGTGTTACCCTGACATTTCCTGGAATTGTGTTTAGTGTTACCCTGACATTTCCTGGAATTGTGTTTAGTGTTACCCTGACATTTCCTGGAATTGTGTTTAGTGTTACCCTGACATTTCCTGGAATTGTGTTTAGTGTTACCCTGACATTTCCTGGAATTGTGTTTAGTGTTACCCTGACATTTCCTGGAATTGTGTTTAGTGTTACCCTGACATTTCCTGGAATTGTGTTTAGTGTTACCCTGACATTTCCTGGAATTGTGTTTAGTGTTACCCTGACATTTCCTGGAATTGTGTTTAGTGTTACCCTGACATTTCCTGGAATTGTGTTTAGTGTTACCCTGACATTTCCTGGAATTGTGTTTAGTGTTACCCTGACATTTCCTGGAATTGTGTTTAGTGTTACCCTGACATTTCCTGGAATTGTGTTTAGTGTTACCCTGACATTTCCTGGAATTGTGTTTAGTGTTACCCTGACATTTCCTGGAATTGTGTTTAGTGTTACCCTGACATTTCCTGGAATTGTGTTTAGTGTTACCCTGACATTTCCTGGAATTGTGTTTAGTGTTACCCTGACATTTCCTGGAATTGTGTTTAGTGTTACCCTGACATTTCCTGGAATTGTGTTTAGTGTTACCCTGACATTTCCTGGAATTGTGTTTAGTGTTACCCTGACATTTCCTGGAATTGTGTTTAGTGTTACCCTGACATTTCCTGGAATTGTGTTTAGTGTTACCCTGACATTTCCTGGAATTGTGTTTAGTGTTACCCTGACATTTCCTGGAATTGTGTTTAGTGTTACCCTGACATTTCCTGGAATTGTGTTTAGTGTTACCCTGACATTTCCTGGAATTGTGTTTAGTGTTACCCTGACATTTCCTGGAATTGTGTTTAGTGTTACCCTGACATTTCCTGGAATTGTGTTTAGTGTTACCCTGACATTTCCTGGAATTGTGTTTAGTGTTACCCTGACATTTCCTGGAATTGTGTTTAGTGTTACCCTGACATTTCCTGGAATTGTGTTTAGTGTTACCCTGACATTTCCTGGAATTGTGTTTAGTGTTACCCTGACATTTCCTGGAATTGTGTTTAGTGTTACCCTGACATTTCCTGGAATTGTGTTTAGTGTTACCCTGACATTTCCTGGAATTGTGTTTAGTGTTACCCTGACATTTCCTGGAATTGTGTTTAGTGTTACCCTGACATTTCCTGGAATTGTGTTTAGTGTTACCCTGACATTTCCTGGAATTGTGTTTAGTGTTACCCTGACATTTCCTGGAATTGTGTTTAGTGTTACCCTGACATTTCCTGGAATTGTGTTTAGTGTTACCCTGACATTTCCTGGAATTGTGTTTAGTGTTACCCTGACATTTCCTGGAATTGTGTTTAGTGTTACCCTGACATTTCCTGGAATTGTGTTTAGTGTTACCCTGACATTTCCTGGAATTGTGTTTAGTGTTACCCTGACATTTCCTGGAATTGTGTTTAGTGTTACCCTGACATTTCCTGGAATTGTGTTTAGTGTTACCCTGACTTTCCTGGAATGGTGTACAGTGTTACCCATGTCCCTCCATTCTGTCCTGTATATTGCCATTACTCAGAATCGGTCCAGACTTGCTGTCATCACTGAAATGACTTCATTCTGTAAATGATTTTGATCAAACTTTATGCTTAAGTCAAATACAAGAAGACCTCGTATAAGTTCATTTTTCGGGGTTTCAAGGGTCAAGGTCTCCATTACTGTATTCACAGAAATTAAAAAACAAGGTCACTGTTACCTGGTACTTTCTGTAGACATTTTTGTCTGAGTGTTTAAAATAAACTAATTGGAGTAAGGAAGACATGATGGTCAGTCAGACTGTTTCCTAATTGTTGTAAAATAAAGTTATTGATTTATAATGTATTCAACTCTGTAAAAAAAACATGACCAAGGTAAAATCTTACTAAAGCCCTAGATATATTACCACCCCAGCAGGCTAATGGTGAACGAGACAGAACATAAAATAATGGTTTTCTGTCGGTAAACAACTTCAACCAAGAAGTTTAAATACATTTTTAACAGTTGATAATGCAACCGTTTCTAGAAGGAAGATAAGATACTTGTATACATTGCTGCATTTTGTTTTACTCATGGCTGCCTGGGATTAAAAACCTCCATACTAACACTCGTGGTAGCTTCGCATTGATACGACAGTCAACTAGCTAGTGGAAACATCATATACTAACAGTTTTCTGGTTGATACAGCAGTAACTAGTGGAAACATCATGTACTAACAGTTTGATGCACATTCTTTTATGTTTGTTTCACTGTATTTCCTGTTTGTCCCTTAAACGTTCCTGGATTAACTTTTACTTTGAATACAACATTGGTATATATAATATAATCTATCATATACAACATTGGTATATATAATATAATCTATCACATACAACATTGGTATATATAATATAATCTATCATATACAACATTGGTATATATAATATAATCTATCATATACAACACTATAAACAGAACTGTGTCGCAGTACGTGTTAAAAAGATGCAAACCAATTCTCTCGGTTTATGAAATATTTTTGATGAACTGTTTTACCAAATGATGAGAAAGAGAAAAACAGCCTTCTTTGAATCTGTAAACTTGTTAACTCGTGTATAAAAGGGAAGTAACTTTTGTTAGGTATGACAAGTGATAACCAAAAACAAGAAAATGCTCTTTAGTTTGTCCCTGCTACACAATTGTAGGTTTAGAAGTGTATTGCATGTAGCCTGGTAATGTGGTAAATGGGGAGGAATGGTTTGATATTTGTTTTGTTAATCATCGAAAGCTGACTCCTCAGAGGGATACAACATCAGCACCACACACCTACGGATTTACTTACAAAACCTGTTCAGTCTAGTTATTGTATATTTGATAAAAATATTTAAATACCAGAAAGTTTTCTTTTTATTCTATTCAACAATAACACATTTTCAAGAAGAATTAATGAATTTCGCATTAATGAATTTCCCTAACTATTTAAGTACTTGTTAATATTTCTTGATTGATATTTTTGTCCAGAAAGTTCATATCTATTGCTGTATTTTATAACATTCAGGTGTATTTGTGTTTGTCCTTTTAACTTCCAAAATTTCAGGATGATTGTGACAATTGCCTTACATTACAATGTCAATATTTCAATTGTATAATATGTGAAGCCATTTGACAGACTTCACTAAAACCTGATGACAGGTTATCAAATAAAATGAAAAAAAGAATGATGATATTGTCAATTGTTTCAAAATTAGTAAGTATGTTTGTTATCAGGGATTCAAAATAATAGTATGATGTAAAAACACCATAACTTCTTTTTTTATTTCTTTGGTAAAATAATTTTTATTTCTTTAATTTGCTTTAATGTGTCATAAGTTTAAGGAAGTTCATGAAAAAATTTGTGCCAAGTAAGTTTTACTGACTGGTCACTTTTTGTTTTCTTTACGTAGTGGTCAGTGGGGGTCCTCTGATAAACCTTATCAACACTCCATCGGTTGATGACCACCTGGTCCGACTGCTGACCGTTAACTATGTCAAGGTAAGGTTTTAGCTCACCTGGTCCGACTGCTGACCGTTCACTATGTCAAGGTAAGGTTTTAGCTCACCTGGTCCGACAGTTCTGAGTGTAAAAATGTAATGGGGCGGGACTAGAATTCCCATCCTGGACCTCAGATTATGATGCTGTGACCCACTGAGCTACATCGTACCAGGTCATCAGTATTATTAGCTCACCTGCCATACCGTTGCGTCCGTCGTTCGTACGTCAACAATTTTTTGAAACGACTTCTTCTTCTTAACCACTGATAGGTCAACTAAATTTGACAGGAAGCATCCCTAGGTGGTGGGGATTCAAAACTGTACAAATGATGGGGCTGACCCCTCAGGGGGCTGAGGGGCGGGCCAAAAGGAGTCAATTTGGCTATACTGCTTTAAGCGACTCCTTCTCTGGAACTAAGTGATGGATATCAACCATATTAGACTGGAAGCATCCCTAGGTGGTGGGGATTCAAAATTGTACAAATGATGGGGGTGACCCCCCAGGGGGATGAGGGGCGGGCAAAAAAGGGGAAATTTGGCTATACTGCTTTAAGCGACTTCTTCTCTGGAACCAGTAGATGGATATCAACCATATTTAATTGAAAGCATCCCTAGGTGGTGGAGATTCAAAATTGTACAAATAATTTGGCTAACCCCCCAGGGGGCTGAGGGGTGGGGCCAAAAGGGGGCAATTTGGCTTATTGCTGCAAACAACTTCTTCTGTAGAACTGTGCACTGGATATCAATTATATTTGATCAAAAGCATTCTTGGGAGGCAGGGATTCAAAATTGTACAGTTGGTGGGGCTGAGGGGCGGGGGCCAAAAAGGATATTTGGCTTTATTGCTTTAAACGACTTCTTCTCTGGAACTAAGAAGTGGATATCAATCATATTTGATCAAAAGCATTCATGGGAGGCAAGAATTCAAAATTGTACAAATGGTGTGGCTGACCCCCCAGGGGGGTGAGGGGCGGGGCCAAAAAGGGTAATTTGGCTATATTGCTTTAAGAGACTTCTTCTCTGGAACTAAGAGATGGATATCAACCATATTTAACTGGAAGCATCCCTAGGGGGTGGGGATTCAAAATTGTACAAATGGTGGGGCTGACCCCCAGGGGGCTGAGGGTGGGGCCAAAAAAGGGCAATTTGGCTATATAGCTATAAACGACTTCTTTTGTAGAACTATGCCATGGATATTGATCATATTTGGTTGGAAGCATTCCTGGGAGGCAGGGATTCAAAATTGTACAAATGGTGGGGCTGACCCTTAGGGATGGGGCCAAAAAAGGTGCATTACTTGGAAATGGTTGAGATCCCCACCATATAACCATGGTATACAAATGCTGGGCATAAAGAGACGAATGCAGTCATGATATCAGAATAGACCCTGGGGTCTGACAGCTTGGAAACAGTTGAGAGCCCACCCTATAACAGTATATACAATTGCTGAGTATAAAAAGAATGTACAGGTTTTATGTTTCCCCTGTAGTGGAACAGGGATCATTTAGGGAAACTCTTAAACCAAGTCTGTAACAAATGACTAGATAGGTCATCACAGTAACATAAAAGAAGCCCAGGTTTTAATTAATGAGATTCTGTAACTAACCAGTATGTATAATCGAAGGCTAATCCTAGGCCTGTCATGGTCCTGACTTTGCCACCACACCCAAGTCTGTAACTAACCAATATGTATAATCGAAGGCTAATCCTGACGTTCCTGATTACGCCACCACACACAAGTCTGTAATTAACTAATGTTTATAATCGTAGGCTAATCCTGACAGTCCTGATTTCACCACCACACACAAGTCTGTAATTAACTAATGTTTATAATCGTAGGCTAACCCTAGGCCTGTCATGGTCCTGACTTCGCCACCACACGTACACAAGTCTGTAATTAACTAATGTTTATAATCGTAGGCTAATCCTGACGGTCCTGACTTCGCCACCACACACAGGTCTGTAATTAACTAATGTTTATAATCGTAGACTGATCCTGACGGTCCTGATTACGCCACCACACACAGGTCTGTAATTAACTAATGTTTATAATCGTAGTCTAATCCTGATGGTCCTGACTTTAATTTGCCACCACACACAAGTCTGTAATTAACTAATGTTTATAATCGTAGTCTAATCCTGACGGTCCTGATTTCGCCACCACACACAAGACTGTAATTCACTCATGTTTATAATCGTAGGCTAATCCTGACGGTCCTGACTTCACCACCACACACAAGTCTGTAATTAACTAATGATTATAATCGTAGGCTAATCCTGACGGTCCTGACTTCGCCACCACACACAAGAAAACTGAACAGACTGTGACAGTTACCTTCACTGCGTTAGAGGTCATGCTCCACCAGGAGGCGCTGCTGTCTCTCATTGTATTTGCCGAGGGCCTACAGCCGCCACCACGACCTCAAGTTGAGGTCAAGGCTAGTACGACCAGTGAGAAAAAAGAAGAATCGGCGGAGAAAAAAGACAGTCAGAAATCTGGATCAAAGAGTAAGTCTTTTTCACATTTTGAAATTGTTTTTACAATTACAGCATGTTGATTTTAGTCAATCCATTATCTAGATATACTTACAGATGTACTGTTTACTTTTTCAGCTGTAGAGAAGCTGGATTTCTTTGCCACTGTACTCAGTATTATCACAGGACTAGTATACTGTTTGTTTTCGTGTTGTAGAGAAAGGGAAGGAGAAGGATCCTGACCAGATCGATATAAAAGTAAATGCTGAGCTGAACCAGATCGGGGTGACCATCTGTACGAAACACAACCTCATTACAGACATGCGAGTCAAAGGTAACAACATAATGAATATTGTTGTTATATTTATTGTAATACTACATCAGTCAAAATGTGTCATTTGTCAGAGGGACATATGATATAACCTAAAATAGGGCATTACTATGGTTTATACTAGCCAGGAAATGTTCTGACATTTAGGTCAGTATTTTGAAATTACTGGAAAATAGGTTTTTATGGAAAAGTGCCAGAATTTGATCAAAATTCAAAAGTACTAGAATATATACTGCAGACAGTAAACATCCATTTTCTTACACTCTGTTTCACGAAAAAGTTGTATCATACTGTGTCCAAAATCTGTCTTAACTGTTTGTTTTGGGTTTATATTTGATTACATTTCCCCAGCATCTTTTGGAGGGATGCCGGAAGCCAAATCAGAGTAATTATTAATGCTGATAAAAAATCAGTGTAATTATTAATGGTGAGAATATTGGTGTTGTTATTGACGCTAGAAAAACTGGTGTAGCTATTAATGGTGAGAATATTGGTGTTGTTATTGACGCTAGGAAAACTGGTGTAGCTATTAATGGTGAGAATATTGGTGTAGTTATTGACGCTAGGAAACCTGGTGTAGCTATTAATGGTGAGAATATTTGTGTAATTATTGACGCTAGGAAAACTGGTGTAACTATTAATGGTGAGAATATTTGTGTTGTTATTGACGCTAGGAAAACTGGTGTAGCTATTAATGGTGAGAATATTGGTGAAACTATTGATGCTAGGAAACCTGGTGTAGCTATTAATGGTGAGAATATTGGTGTTGTTATTGACGCTAGGAAAACTGGTGTAGCTATTAATGGTGAGAATATTGGTGTAGTTATTGACGCTAGGAAACCTGGTGTAGCTATTAATGGTGAGAATATTGGTGTAATTATTGACGCTAGGAAAACTGGTGTAACTATTAATGGTGAGAATATTTGTGTTGTTATTGACGCTAGGAAAACTGGTGTAGCTATTAATGGTGAGAATATTGGTGAAACTATTGATGCTAGGAAACCTGGTGTAGCTATTAATGGTGAGAATATTGGTGTTGTTATTGACGCTAGGAAAACTGGTGTAGCTATTAATGGTGAGAATATTGGTGTAGTTATTGACGCTAGGAAACCTGGTGTAGCTATTAATGGTGAGAATATTGGTGTAATTATTGACGCTAGGAAAACTGGTGTAACTATTAATGGTGAGAATATTTGTGTTGTTATTGACGCTAGGAAAACTGGTGTAGCTATTAATGGTGAGAATATTGGTGAAACTATTGATGCTAGGAAACCTGGTGTAGCTATTAATGGTGAGAATATTGGTGTTGTTATTGACGCTAGGAAAACTGGTGTAGCTATTAATGGTGAGAATATTGGTGTAGTTATTGACGCTAGGAAACCTGGTGTAGCTATTAATGGTGAGAATATTGGTGTAATTATTGACGCTAGGAAAACTGGTGTAACTATTAATGGTGAGAATATTGGTGTAATTATTGACGCTAGGAAAACTGGTGTAGCTATTAATGGTGAGAATATTGGTGTAATTAATGATGCTAGGAAAACTGGTGTAGCTATTAATGGTGAGAATATTGGTGTAAGTATTGACGCTAGGAAAACTGGTGTAACTATTAATGATGAGAATATTGGTGTTGTTATTGGCACTAGGAAAAATGGTGTAGCTATTAATGTTGAGAATATTGGTGTAATTATTGACGCTAGGAAAACTGGTGTAGCTATTAATGGTGAGAATATTGGTGTAATTATTGACGCTAGGAAAACTGGTGTAGCTATTAATGGAGAGAATATTGGTGTAAGTATTGACGCTAGGAAAACTGGTGTAACTATTAATGGTGAGAATATTGGTGTAATTATTGACGCTAGGAAAAATGGTGTAGCAATTAATGGTGAGAATATTGGTGTAATTAATGACTCTTCTTGTATCCCACTGATTGTTTGTTGGACAGGAATTGATGCCAAGGTCACGATTCAGGAAGAGAAAACAGTAGTGTCGGCCATGTTGAAGGCCATCACGATCTTTGACCCGGACCCAGACACACTGTACCAAAAGGTTTGTACACTATCCAAATGAGCTACTGGTACCAAGTGAGACCACTGAAGGTTTTAGAGAAAGGAGTTAACCTGCTGAATCCCACTACATGATTGTATGAGGTGACTTATGTCTCCTGTGGAATCAGTGTTTCCTTTTGTGTCCTTTGTTAGGTGGACATTGAAGAAACCACAATTAACCTGCTGCTGTCATCGTTACTTTTACCTATTTATTTGATTTCTTTTCAAGTCCTTTTCTGTTCCCACTTTTTCTATTATAAGCTTTCAGAGTTAATATTTTCTCAAGGTTCCTAGCTTTTAACGATTATTTCTACAGTGTTACCCCGGGTGATTTGATCATGTGGCCTGAATGACCTTATTGTGTGACCCTGTATGACCTTATTTTGTGATTGTGTGACCCTGTATGACCTTATTATGTGACTGTGTGACCCTTGTATGACCTTAGTATGTTACTGTGTGACCCTGTATGACCTTATTATGTGACTGTGTGACCCTGTATGACCTTAGTATGTGACTGTGTGGCCCTGATAACCTTATTGTGTTGATGGGTTGTTAGGGCTTCTACATATAAACAAATAAATGTAATAAAATGTTAAAAAAGAAAGTTTGTCGCAATCTCCCAATCAATACATTTACTCTTGTTTGGGAATTAAGATCTCATAACTTTAGGTGCAGTCACCAATCCAGAAACTTGCAGTAAATTTCATTGTAAACAGAAGATGACATTCCAAATTTAAAAAATTATTCATGTCAGAAAATTGCCAAATAGGTGGTAAAATTTTCACATATTGAAATGACTGTATTGTCAATAAAAACCCTTGTGTGTAAACAAACATATGTGTTCTATAAAAGTCATTTTCTCCTAAAATTTGTAAAGAAATATACAAAATATTATGTGAAGAAAGTCATGCTTGGCAAAACCAATGTTTCGTTATTGTAAAACATGTTAGTAGAGACTTTTTCTCTAGGTACTTTTCCTGGTTAATAAAGACAGATTGTAAAGACTACCTTAAAGTCACTAACTGTACACACTACCTTACAGCCACTAACTGGACACCCTATCTTACAGCCACTAACTGTACACACTCCCTTCCAGCCACTAACTGGACACACTATCTTACATCCACTAACTGGACACACTACCTTACAGTAACTAACTGGACACACTACCTTACAGCCACAAACTGGACACACTACCTTACAGAAACTAACTGTACACGCTATCTTACATCCACTAACTTTACACACTACCTTACAGCCACTAACTGTACACACTCCCTTACAGCCACTAACAGATTGTAAAGACTACCTTAAAGTCACTAACTGTACACACTACATTACAGCCACTAACTGGACACACTATCTTACATCCACTAACTGGACACACTACCTTACAGTCACTAACTTCTACCTCAAGTGTCAACTATCTAACAACCACCAACTGGACACACTATCTTACAGTCACTGACTGTACACACTATCTTACAGCCACTGACTGTACACACTATCTTACAGCCACTGACTGTACACACTATCTTACAGCCACTGACTGTACACACTATCTTACAGCCACTAACTGTACACATTCCCTTACAGCAACTAACGAGACACACTACCTTACAGCCACAAACTGGACACACTATCTTACAGCCCCTAACTGTACACACTACCTTACAGCCACTTACTGTACACACTACCTTACAGCCACTAACAGATTGTAAAGACTACCTTAAAGTCACTAACTGTACACACTCCCTTACAGCCACTAACAGATTGTAAAGACTACCTTAAAGTCACTAACTGTACACACTCCCTTACAGCCACTAACAGATTGTAAAGACTACCTTAAAGTCACTAACTGTACACACTCCCTTACAGCCACAAACTGGACACACTATCTTACAGCCACTAATTGTACACATTACCTTACAGCAACTAACGAGACACACTACCTTACAGCCACAAACTGGACACACTATCTTACAGCCCCTAACTGTACACACTACCTTACAGCCACAAACTGGACACACTACCTTACAGCAACTAACTGTACACGCTATCTTACATCCAATAACTTTACACACTACCTTACAGCCACTAACTGTACACACTACCTTACAGCCACTAACTGGACACACTACCTTACAGTCACTAACTGGACATACTATCTTACAGCCACTAACTGTACACACTACCTTACATCCAATAACTTTACACACTACCTTACAGCCACTAACTGTACACACTACCTTACCGCCACTAACTGTACACACTACCTTACAGCCACTAACTGGACACACTACCTTACAGTCACTAACTGCTACCTCAAGTGTCAACTATCTAACAACCACCAACTGGACACACTATCTTACAGTCACTGACTGTACACACTATCTTACAGCCACTAACTGTACACATTACCTTACAGCAACTAACGAGACACACTACCTTACAGCCACAAACTGGACACACTATCTTACAGCCACTAATTGTACACATTACCTTACAGCCACTAACTGGACACACTACCTTACAACCACTAACTGGACACACTACCTTACAGCCACTAACTGCTACCTCAAGTGTCAACTACCTTACAACCACTAACTGGACTCACTATCTTACAGCCACTGACTGTACACACTATCTTACAGCCACTAACTGTACACGCTACCTTACAGCCACTAACTGTACACATTCCCTTACAGCAACTAACTGGACACACTCCCTTACAACCACTAACTGGACACTCTACCTTACAGCCACAAACTGGACACACTACCTTACAGCCACTAACTAGACAAACTACTTTACATCCACTAACTGGACACACTACCTTACAGCCACTAACTGCTACCACAAGTGTCAACTACCTTACAGCCACTAACTGACCACACTACCTTACAGCCACTAACTGGCCACACTACCTTACAGCCACTTACTAGACACACTACCTTACAGCCACTAACTGCTACCTCAAGTGTCAACTACCTAACAACCACCAACTGGACTCACTATCTTACAGCCACTGACTGTACACACTATCTTACAGCCACTAACTGTACACATTACCTTACAGCAACTAACTGGACACACTACCTTACAGCCACAAACTGGACACACTATCTTACAGCCACTAACTGTACACACTACCTTACAGCCATTAACTGGACACACTATCTTACAGCCACTAATTGTACACATTACCTTACAGCAACTTACTGGACACACTATCTTACAGCCACTAACTGGACGCACTACCTTACAGCCACTAACTGGACACACTACCTTACAGTCACTAACTGGACACACTACCTTACAGCCACTAACTGTACACACTACCTTACAGCCACT